TAGAAATAGACGAAGCGATTTTGTTACTATAATATCTAATAATCTCCTGAATCAGAAATTATTACACTATTTCAGTCCATTCAAGGTAGGTACAAAATTCCAGAATGACATAAGCTATATTAATTATATGTACATAAAGTAAATATATAAACTTCAGAAAGTTATGAAGAGCCGGGAGAATCGGTGAGTCACTTAGTAATATAATTATTCTCTAATAATAATTCTTTAATTAGTAGAATAAAATAAAATATCAACATAAAAGATGTCAACCAAAATTCGACTTTAATATATGTTCGGCTTAAAAATAATGACTCGAACATTTTATTTGTCATCCTATCCGCAGAATCTAGTACTAGTAGAAAAAAACTGCTTTTATAGTCAGAAACTACTTATTACATCTTTGTGTTTTTAAAAACGTTTCTATTCTCTTTTATAAATAATAATCAATTAATTTTAATTGGTTTCCCTTAATTGCCACAATTAAATTCATTGCGCTTGAAGATGAGGGAAAAGCCGCAGATAGCCATGGGAACAAATTAATTTTAATTAGAATGAAAATGGCAACTGTTATCATTAGCCTGTCTCTAAGAACAACGACTGGATAACGACACAATTAATGTAAATAGTAACATTTTTGCTACCCAAAACGCATATTTCCACCCAACAGATTTAGTAACAATACAAACAAGTAATCCATATGTTATATATGCGGTAAATTATTGTGACAAATGTTTCAATACAACAAAATCGTGCATTATCTACAATAAGGCTTATACCTGTGTTGTTTTAGATTTTTACTATTACTTTTACATCCTTTATTTTGAGAAATTATTGATTTTGCATTCCTATTTCGTGTTTTTAAAATTAATATCTTCACATAAAATAGATCCTATATCCTCATTCTCCACGTAACCTGGAACCTATACTCGTAGAGAAGCACTTTATACTGTATATTTTGGAGAAAATAATTGTAAGAAAAATCTTCAAATAACTACTCCATAATTATAATAATTTGTCCTAAAACAGAGTCTAATAGGTCTTTACCTTTATCTTTTTTTACTGTTAAAATGTAAGAACTGTACTATGGCTAAGTTTTTGTATTTTATAAAGAGACTATAGCAGTTCACTAATAACTTGCTGTATCTGAATTTGCACCTCAAAACAAATAATAAAGGTATATATATATATATATATAAATATATAGATACAGAATTTATATTACATTTATACGAAATAAAAGGTAAACAAATATCGAAACTTCATAAACAGCAGATAACAAGTTACAGTGAAAAACAGTTTGTTTTTTTTAAATTAATGAAACCGTTTACACAAGTCGTAATAAAAGACTCTTTGCGCGGTAAAAACGTCATCGGAATAATTTTTCTTATTGCGCGCCATTTTTCCGTAGTCGTCAGAAACGCTAAACTGACTATAAAACTAATTAAATACACAAGCCTGGAGCGTTCGCAAACCTAGTTTCTGAGTAATTCTTTATTCTCTTTGCATTCGAAAAAATACTCACGCCTGTTAGTACCTACTGATCACAATTGTATAATCATCAGTTTAAAATTGTATAATTCGAGAAGTTGTAAAACCATATAAATAAAAACTATAACTTATTTATAAATAACATATTTTTTAACTCAAAAGCAGGTAAAATTTCCACCTTTCCAAACAAAAGTAATGCGATATACGAAATAAAATTTCGAGAAGTTAACAAACCGATGACGGTGTAAAGCAACCGTTCCGTTAAATTAAGAATATCTTTTTTCATATTTCCAACATAGCGATTCCGAAATATTTTTTAGGAAGTAAAGTTAAATTTATTCTCGATTCGTTAAATATTCTTCAAACAAAAATCATTTCTTATCATCTTTGTGCTTGTACTAATTGCATTCCAGCGTTTGCCGAGACTAGAAATAATTATTATATTTTCAACTTCGAAACAAAATCTTTTCAAATTTTGTAGGTTATTATTACTCAGTTTACCTAATATCTAGTACTTATTTAAGAAACGTTGTACGAAATAAAAATATTCATTGTCGTCCGTAACAAAAAGAGTACCTATCTATTGAAAAATAATGAAATCCTATTTATCCTAAATTTTGGAACATAATATAATATTTTCTTTCTTTATAATTTACTTAATATCTGGCTATTATGTATGCAGTGTGCATACATAATAGCCAGATATATACATTATGCTTTATACATAGTAGGTATCATAGAGATCATTAAAATTAAAAGCATAAAGCATTATTGATCAAGATTCGTAGCAAAAACAAAAACTTGATTCGACGTCTTGTTTTATTACCAAATTCCCATAGGTTTGGTACCTTTCAAATCCAATATGAAACCAACTTCATATCTTATATTGTAACTGTTATCAAAACAATCAAATAAAAAAAGGAATAAAAATGTAACTCCAAGCACTGTAATTTAAATCAACAAGCGCTTGACAAACTAATTACAATTGAAAATGTAAGACGTATCTAAAAACGATAAGAATTAAATCAGACCTGTTTATAAAATTTGATTGAAATCTTATTAATTTGCATTGTTAATAAACTTCAGACAAAAAGGAAATATTAGTAATCGTTGATTTTGACGTTTTCTTTAACAATTCATAAATAAATACTGATTATTTTATATTATGTATTTCAATTAACCGTATATAGGAACTAGGAAAATTTGTAATACATTTTTTTAATTGGTATATCTAATAATGATATGTGTAGTTGATATTATAAAAAATAAGTGCTATAAGAATTTCTTTATAAAAAAAATTAACTACATTACGTTTATTATTTATCATTTATATATTAAATTTATTATAGAAAATCGTATTTTCTATTCTTTATGTTCCTAACTTAAAATTGTTTTCCACAATTACCTTTAAAATATTAATGTTAGTAAGAGTACATATATTTTTAAAATGTTATTAAAGCCACTATACTCGTAGATAGTATCTTCCATATATGTATATCATTCCATTTAAAGAATATTGCTTTTAAAGGAACTCCGGGCCGTTACTGTTCTCTTTTAGTGCAAATGAAAAAAGTTGGTTGATTGAATTTTAATTTACTACTTGAATGCTCACGTTCTAAAGGATGTTGATCTGTCGTCGTAGATGGCCGCATCGACAAGTTCCATTTTCACTTCAGTTCACCTCGTATTGCTACAAAGTGGGTTACAAACAATGAACTGATTTAACTCTAGCTATATTTATTTTATAACTAGCTGTACCTACGACTCATATGATGTTTATGAATCAATTGAAACGTAATAGAAACTAAATGTTACGGGAATATTTCAAGTTATGCATTGCATTAGTGAGAAAAGCGTGGATAAAAACATAAATATCATTATCATCATCATCTTCAGGCCCGTATCTCATTATTTTTTAACAAATAAACTGCATTAATTGAAACGAAATTGGTACATTTCTGGGTAATTACTTGCGCCGGTTAGTAGTCAATTTAATTAACAGGTCATAATTAATTTAATCGAACAAAACAGGTATGAAATAGTTCAGTATTGCAAGGAAGGAACAAATACGAATTCAATACGAAGATACGAGATTATATCAGGTCTAAACAAATAGAGAAAAGATGAGGTCATTACAAGTTTTCCAATCTTGTACGTGGGATATCAAAGTATCTATACCTACATACCTAAAATATTCTACAACTTACCGAAACGCGTAAATAGTATCTACGTACATAAAATCTGTAAAAGTATATCAATTCTGCTACTGAAACATTAACTTAAGGAAATAAATAAATAATACCTACGAATTAATATTTAAATACAGAACTAGATAAAACGATTGTCAGATTCATTCATAAAACTTTGTTTCGTATGGCAAAAAATATTGAACAGGTAATAATAGTTTGACAACAAGCTCATCCACATCTCAGCCCATAATTACTTCAATATTCTAATCTATTGCATATCCATTTACTTTGTATTTATAAAACAATAGTAGAAATACAACATATAATATTAGAAATACACAGATATACTATAACATCATATTTTTCAACATACGAAATAAATTCTAATTCTAATAATTGAACTATTAGAATGCTACCTCTAAACGTTTTACAATAAAATTAAAACAAACTAACATGGATAATTGGTTTTAAGTAATTATTACTAACATTTTTATTAATTCCAACAACGTTTTTATGTAACTATGTATAACTTACATCTTGTGGTTATGTCCTGATTTCAGGTTTCGATCTATTCAGGTAGAGATCTATTAATAATAATTTAGCAAGACCAGCAACCAGCAAGAGATAAAAAGAGGAATAGTCATCGGTTTTCAAAACACCGTCTTACAGTCCAAATACTGAGTAGATAGATAATGATAGGAACTAATATGTTTTCAAATAATGTAGATATTTGTTTGCGGTAACTTGTGTTCAGATCTCTTTGTTTGTAAGTTGTTACGCAGTAAAAACTTCAGGTAAAAGAGTATAAAGTTTCTAGGAAAAGTTCTTAAATTACTTAAATATAAGTATTCTTTAGAAGCTATATATGCCGCCAGAGTAAAAACAACTATTCTTCTACATCGTCTAGACTTTAATTATACAAGTATGTAAAGATGTATTTTATTTTATCCACGTTTTTTGTTTATTGATCTAATAACAAGGACAGTATCAGAGAAACTTTAGAGAAGGTCTAATATCTAAAAGGTTATTTCGTCATGCGTTCTTCGTGCTTTTCCCTTTTATGATGCAGATGCCTGTTAAAAAGATTGAATTAAAAAAAATAAAAACGGACAGAAATTTGAAATAATTCAGTAATATTTACTTCACTAAATTCTATAGTAAGGTTTGACAATTATTTGTAAATTGAACAACAACTAGCACCTATTTTACTAACAACCAAATTTTACAACAATTATATGTAATTATATCTTTATATAACAACTGAACTAAAGTAGCAACTGTCACTATTTGGTTAGTGTTACCGATTCGAACAACATCATCAAAATGATTTTGAAACAGATTAAGAACTATTTTTACAAAATTGTTAAAAATGATGATGACCCTATTGAGGCTGCTAAGAACATGGTCAATTCGATTCAAATATTCGTTGGAATACACAATATGTTTGGAGACGCAAACCGCAGTGAGTACTTAAAAACATTACAATGTAGAGATGATTACATTTTCAAGACTGTTTATATTTTATGATGAAGTTTTAATAGATAACTTGCAATACGTAATTTTTAAAGACACAAGTTGATAAGAGCCTTCATATCTATTGAGTAAATTAGTCATTAGCTATATTGAATGCCTACAGTAGGTACCCAATTATAGAGCAATTGCGTATCTAATATAGGTACTCATTACCGCATTAGAAGTTTATAATGTGTTATAACGTATTATTATTAGTTGTAGTTAGTAATTATTATAAAATAATACATGTGGTAATGAAGATTACGATACACATCCCATCTGTATATAATATAACTATTTCATTAAAGGTATTAGGTACCTACAAAGAAGCTTCTAACAGAATTATAGTAGAAGAATTTAAATAAACATATACCTATTTGTTCCAGAAATGACGCCACTATCTTTATTAGGTGCACTTGTGTTTGCTGGATCATTTGTTTATGTTGGTACCATTAGCCAAACCGTGTACCTAATAAATGTGTTTCCTGATAAAATCGAGTGTTTCAAAGCGATGAACTGCCTGAGTTCCACTTGTATTCCACTCTCAAAATACATATTTATGTGGTTGTCAAGGTTAGAATAATGTTTTATACCTATACTTTTACGTAAAGTTGAAATTAAATCAAACGTACAAAAATGAATTCTAAAAAATACTGGAATGAAATTGCCCATTACGCCGTTTTCCCGTTAGAATTTGAATGACCTTTCGTGGTAGACGTCTTTGCGTGATCATTATGCAAAATTTCGAGTGATGGCTATTATTCCCAGTAATTTGATTATTTCATAAATGGCAATTTACTTATCAATAGATGTCCAAAAAGAATCATTACGTGATATTAGCACTAAAACATTCTAAATTACTATTTAATATAATATATTATACATAATTACAGGATTTACTTACAAGTTGTACGCATATACTACTGCCTTAATAAATCACAGATACTACTTATGGAAGTCTATCTAGTATATCTAGATATACTTCCATAAGACTGGGAGATAGGTATTGTAATGTAATTTCAATGCCAAACTTCCAGCTAACAACCCACCTTGTAGTAAGTGGCAATCACTGAACATACATGAACAACACCATATACATCACGTCATTATGTGAGAGTCACCGCGAGATGAGACCCATAATAGCTCTCGTATGCCTCGTATGATGCCACTGGAGGACAATAATGTTATGCCTTCCTATCCTGCAATTACTCACTCTCTGGTGAAATATGGCAGTGTATCTCGGTTGGAGAACCGACACAGCTTACAGTGTACAGCTATACTTGTGATAAAATAATCAAGACTCTAGAATAGATATACCTAGTTTTTGATACAAATTGGAACCAGTGTCATGGTCATGTTCGTAATGTATTTTTTTAATATTTGTATAAGAACTACCCATATTAGAAAAGATAGAAATCTATTTTACAGTGAACGTCTAAAGAAAATACTAGATATGAGTCGTCAAGGTTTAAAGATAATACCAGATGAATCAGCTGCTAAGAAGAAAATGTTAACCACACTTCGAAAAGGGCGCTATGTGTCCTTCTTGGTAATTATCAATCAAGCAACATCGCATATCTTCTACCTGGTCCTGCCTCTTTTGTTTACTATCTTTGGTAACAGTCGATATTTGCCGTCGACGCCTGGAGAAATATTTGGTAATCACTTTAATAGTTCCTATATTCAATTTAGTAAGATTGATATACACTTTTGACGGTTTGTCAATCAAACTATCCAAGAACCCATTGAAACATACAAACAAAATGTAATCCAAATCTTTTTATAGAAGCAAGTTGACAGTGAGACAGACCGACAGTTTAAAGTCAAGAGATCCATATATATATGTACATCTTATTCATAATTTTAATGTATATATATTTTTTTTTTATACTACGAAGGTGGCAATCAAGCATACGGCCCATCTGATGGTAAATGGTTACCGTAGCCTATGAACGCCTGAAACACCAGGGATATCACTTGCGCGTTGCCGACCCTTAAGAAACCTTAATATACCCTTCTTGAAAAACCCCATGCTGTAGTCTCGTGGGAAAACCTCGGCAGGAAGTTCATTCCACAATCTAAGTGTACGCGGGAGGAAACTCCTCTGAAACCGCACTGTTCGGGACCACTTAGGTTCCAGTGTGTGGGGATGAATTCCCTGTCGATGGCGAGCGGTGCAGTGGTAAAAGGTGGCTGTCGGCATCATGTCGAACAATTCCTCAGAACACAGTCCGTTGTATAATCGGTAGAACACACAAAGCGAGGCGAAGTCTCACCTCAAGCTAAGTGGCTCGATACCGCCAGAGAGATTGGGATCATCGACAATTCTCATAGCACGTCTCTGAACCGAGTCAAAAGGACCGAGCTGGTATCCAGATGCTCCCGCCCAAAGATGAGAGCAGTACTCCATGTGCGGCCGAACCTGTGACTTATATATAAGAGAAGTCTCTGGTCCGCAGTGAAGTACCGCCTCGCTCTATTGAGCACACCGAGCTTCTTGGACGCCAGCTTTACCTTTTCTTCCAGGTGACTGCGGAACTCAACAGTACTAGAGAGGTCGATACCGAGAATCCCAATACTCTTAGAAATGGTAACGGACGTGTTCTGGAATTGAGGAGCCACAGCAAAAGAGATTTTCTTAGCGGTGAACGCGCAGGCTTGTGTCTTATATAATACTTCTGTACGTGTTTTTATACTAGGTATGTGCTAACATATCAATTAAACATTCAGAAAAAGATACTTATCCTACTTTACTGTATCTATAATTTAGTTTTACCAATCTAAACAAATATTTAGAAGTTACAAATAAAAAAAAACATTTCAGGTCTCAGTGGTAAATACGAAAGCCCATTCTACCAAATATCTTTCATTCTAACTTCCATCGCAACAGGTTTCTCTGCTATTAATCAAACAGGCTACATTGTACTATTTGTTAGCTTGCTCTCTCATGAGCTTGGACACTTCTATGCCATTACTGAAACATTAAATTATATATACAAGATTCTGAATGGCGAAGAAACATTTGAGAGAGACGATGTTAAACAGAAAATTATAGAAGACAAATTAAAGTTGTGTATTAAACATCATCAGTTTATTATGATATACCACGAGAGGATAAAGAATTTATACAAATCGGTTTTTGGCGCCCATTTCTTGATGATGACTTTGGTTTTGGTAACGACGCTGCAGACAATGAATGCATGGGACATAAGCAATACATTACTGACAGGTGTGACAGGTATAATGCCATTATTCATCTACTGCTTTGGAGGAGAACTCCTTTTGATTGCGGAGTCAAGAATGTCCACAGCCGTGTATTCAAGTGGGTGGGAACTAATGAATCCTAGACAGGCCAAAATGGTTCTCATCATGCTGATACTCTCTCAAGAACCTCTCTATCTCACTGCATCTGATATTTTCATTATGAACAGAGAAACGTTTGGTGACGTAGCACAAATAATATATAAAATTTATGCTGTTTTCAATTGACTTAAATATACATATATATCGTTATTTGTTATGGTACCGTCAAATTTTCGTTGATTTATGAATCTAATCTGAAAGGCGAAAATAATAAAGTCACTGTGACGTACGTATATTTTTACGGATCATTTTGTTTATCGCAAGTAGCAAGAAAGTAAGCTACGTATATTTTTACGGATCATTTTGTTTATCGCAAGTAGCAAGAAAGTAAGCCTGACAAACACAATTTCATAAATTGAGGTGGAAATGAGAAGACGGGAATGAGAAACGACCTCTAGTAACCGCGGCGAACTTGGATTTCAGCAAACGACGAAATTGGTGTCAAGTGTCAACGTAATACACAAGAATTCTAATTTAAGAAGTACTGAAACAATTATTGTGTTTTTGTTACTATACTCGAACTAATAAATTATGGTTTGTAGTAATAACAATATATTTGATTTTATCGAGTTCCCGTTTCATACGACTTATTGTCCCATCCGTTTTTAAAAAGTTGATAATTATAATAACAGTCTCTGGACGCTGCGCTGTGTACACAGCGCCATTTTGACCCAAGCTACTTGGCTAGCTAAAGTTTGTGTTATGGGTATATAACTGTATACTCTATGGTAGGACAACTGATGCAATATATTTTTTTAGTATTTTATTATAAATAGAAAACACCCAGACCAACACAAACAATCATACTCATAAATACAAAAGTTTATGCCGTGCGAGGAATCGAACCCGCAACCATCGGATAGAAGGCGGCGTGTTAAACCGCTAGACAACGGAAGCTGTCATGTAATGATGACAAAGACCCTTAGATTTCATGTCATGGATATAACAAAAACACGTCATTAAATTTTTTTTTTGGGAACAAATTAGAGGCATTTATTACCAGAAAAGTAGCCCTTACTCTCACCTATCTTACTTGGATGTGTCATGGTAATAACAAAAACCAATATAATAATGACCATTTAGTCTAATTAAGGTACATATTTTATCAACAAATATAAGGTAAGCTTTTATACCAATTGTTTTGTGAAATAATAATGTCGTTTGCGGCGTACCGCAAATTTCAATTAAGCAGAGGTATAATGTAATAGTAAGAGTAATAATAAAAAAAAAACCAAACTATTTGACGTGGTTCAAACGTAAATAATTTTATTACCTAGATACCTCATAAATATTACAATTAATATTATGTTCGAGTACAAATGAAGTTAAATGCAAAAAGTAAGTATACCAGATAGGTAGGTGCCAACTTACCTTAATCTGTACTGTTGACAACCGAGTGGTCTGTGCTTATATTAACGTCTTTCGATGAAAATATTTATAATCAAAATCCATATTAGCCGTTATTAATATGACACTAGATAGGTGTCACTGTTGAGCAACCCCGCAAATGTGATTAAATAGCATCAATAATAATTATAGTTTATAATTTCTCATAATAGTTAACAATACGTGACCATCAACATTAATAGGTTCAGTAAGATATCGTGAGTTCAAATCTGTGCTACTTTCGGTGAAGGAAACGTCAATATTGAGCATGTCACATGTTGTGTTTGCGCTTGACATCGACAGTTGTAATTAATTCGCCACACCCCCCGGCGGAGAAAAAAGGTGACCTATTAATCTAAAATATCATCAAATAAAACTCTCCGTAACCGATGGTTTTGCGTTGAGTCAATGAATATAAATGATGAAGAAGTGAAAGGAATAGAGGAAGGGTGGATGGTAGTGAGGGAGGGCGCCTCCAACTACCCCAACTTCGATAACACTTTAGTGTGACAGTATGTTATATTATTTGGTATTTAATATTTAATAAATTTTATAATTGATTTATTACAATAGTAAAATGGGACTCGTTTTTTTTAATAGAAACGGCCAATAAGTTGTCAGCCTACCTGATGATAAGTTGTTACCGTCTTCTATATCATGAATAGGGAATGAAGGAAAGATGGCACTATATCACGTTATCAGCGTCTGTATTGCGACAACGTGTCTTTCATGATAACGTGATACACAGCGTTATTTTATTCTTCTGTCGTAAACTACAAACTAACAAGACCAGATATTCCAGAGTTGTTAATATGTGCTTTTTATCCTGGACTTCCACTGCCCAATCTCACCTGTAGGGTGAGAGTGGTCGAAATATCTTACTAACCAAGCTGCAAAACAGGTAGCTACCTCGAATCTATCGGTCTTTAGATAACGCTAGTTACGTTACCTTTAGGTCGTAGAAAACTTTGTATTGCGAATGATATGTACCTAAACCGTTTAAACTCTACAAATTCTAAAACATCAAATATGCCCCTGCCTAAAGTGCAATAAGACATTACTTTTATTGAAATGCTTTATTTTCAGTTAGCATTAGCAGTATATAATAGTAAAGTATTATATATGCAAATATAGAAGGTTATTTCGAAGCTTGCCGAAACAACAATAGAACTGCTGTTTTCATAAAATTAGTTGACCTTTTTTAGTCGTATTTAATCCGGATCAACCCGAACAGTGTCAGGAACTTCAGCGCACGATATTTCTAAATCAATGTTTATACAACCGTTGCTCTGAACTCTCACTTATTTTCTTGAATTAATCCTATTAAGGTTCGTCGGAAACATTAAGAAGTATCGAGCCCATTATAGAAATTAAAATTAATGAATGTAAATGCGTTTGAAAACAAAAACAAAACCAAGAAGTTGAAGTTAATAATAGAAATAGGTACCTATAGACAAATAAGAGTTTGCTTTACAAATCATTAATATTCTATTAGATATCGAGTCTTTTACCAGTAGGTATACCAAAATAAATATCCTATACTCTTAGACGTAACTCGTTCAAAAACTGCCTAGCCATCCGAAGGTACCTTATTCGACTACACTAGAGGAGAGTAGTTAAATATGGGCCACTATTTTGTTTTTGTATCAAAAATAATAATCTATCTAATAACAAAATTTTCTACTTATAACGGCTATAAGTTTGAAATGATTACATGCCTTTCTTCATACATATCTACTTCTATTGTACATCGGTTCTTCTTAATATGTCATAACGTTGCTATTACACGAGTCATCTTTGCGCGCTTCAAATAATAAAAAACAATCTTAACGTTTCAGGATCACTTTTAATTGACCATTCTGACCTAGTGCAGGAGATCCTGCAATCATACAACTACTTCCGCCTGAAACTTTTTTTTACAATATACTTGGGATTTCGTCATTATATTAAATTGCCAAAGGTATTCAATGCGTTAGGACATTTTTCAGATATACCTACCAAGAAGCTTTCTTTTAAGAAGCACTTTCTTTTACAACTTCCGCCAAAAAACAATATCGATGATAGATTGTTATCGCTAGAGATTTCATTTTAGTTTGTTTAATATATTTCGGACTATTTAGTTCCAGTATTTAGTTCCTAGGTTTCTGTCATTAGGAAAAGAAAAAAAGATGATCTCTACCGCTACCAATTTAGGTTGGAAAATACTGTACCTACTGAAATATACCTATTTATAATTAAAATCAGAGCTTTCAATACACCATCAGTCTTTAATTTCCGTCGCCGTCCGGATAATAATAGGTAACGCGGGGAATTAATGACTCAATGCGACGATTTCCGCATTTCTCTAAAATATTCACAAACAGTAGAACGACAAGCTCAACTCAGAAATATGATATCCTCCATGTTGTCCAGTCCTCCATTTAAGTAAATATACTATTTTAGTGGGTTATTAAAAAACCAACACACAAGAGATCGCGAGTTCAAATCTGGCGAAAACTAAAAATACTTTGTGTAAATTTAAATATCTGACTGTCCCTTCTGTACTGGGCCGGTATGCACCAGAAAATACCACGTCTCTTCAGCATAAAAGCGTAAAGTATTAAATAAAGCATAAAATATTTCATATTGTGAGTCAAGATTCTGGACAACCATCCTCTCATCCTATTTCTTTCCTAATTACCTCCTGCAAATTGCAATTCCGCTGGTGTTGCAGGGGTCCATGATTAGAGTTAACCACTTACCATCAGGTGTGCCGCAAGCTCATTTGCCTCCAATGCTATAAAAAAAAGTACGGACAATACTTTCGTAACCTTACCTAGGTAAGGTATCACTGTACAAAGCAGATACTTTGCAGAAACTTGTATTTTAGATCAACACTCGGACGATGGCAAATACGAGGTCGAGAGACTACAGCATGGGGTTTTTCAAGAAGGGTATATTAAGGTTTCTTAAGGGTCGGCAACGCGTATGTGACACCCTTGGTGTTTCAGGCGTCCATAGGCTACGGTAACCGTTTACCATCAGATGGGCCGTATGCTTGTTTGCCACCTAAGTGATATAAAAAAAAAATACTACAAACAAAACTAATTACTACGCGAAACCACCATATCTTACACGATATATCGTAGATATTTCGTAACCAATAAAACTATTTAAATCACATTCAAAATTCATATGATGACACTAAATACAACATACAAATAAACATTGAGATTGGTAAAGTACTTATAACATAGAAAGAAATTAAAGTTAAAGTTTATTATGACAGTTCAGAATAAATATTTTTAAATACCGGTACCTACCTGCATCGAGTACTTACGCATTTTCGTTATATAAACAAATATCTACAAAACTGATTGATTTTCGCCAATTATATGTTATATTAAGTACTTACTTATACATCAATCTCGCAAATAAAGTCCCTCGCCCCAAATGTCTCAGTCAGGCTTACATGATCTTTGTAGATTGATCCCCAAGCAAATATCTAGACACAATTTACAACCTTCAGTAACATAATCGAAGGGACTGTGATATTTAAACCATTTCATAATAATCCCACGACATCCATTTTACGGGGTAGTCCCCCGTTTAGTTATTCTACAAATACACTTGGTGTGTGTATTTAACTATGTTTAGTTTGTAAACAAATAATAATAAAAAATCAGTTAAAGTTACCGTCAAAACTATAACATAAACCGAAATTTAGTTAAAACATAATTTAGACACTAATTGAGAGGTCGTTAAAATTTCAATTTTTTTAAATATTAGTCTCAGATGCTTTTTGTCATTCTCTCCCATTAAAAACATGTAATAGAGCAAGAGCCCACGACGGCCAGACATACGTCATATTAGTAAACGTGAAAGTTCTTGTATGTGTGTCCCCAACACAGGTAAGAACGATCCCCAAACATGAAACCTGGATCGTAGTTCCTTTGGCAGGTAACAGGTAACAAAGGTGTAAAAAATTTCATATCAAATTCGTTATTTTAAGAAACTAACCACGATAAGGATAAGGAACCAAGAAAAAAGCTGTCTATTAAACTGGCCTAAATTTTTTCTTGGTTCTTTATCCTACCAGGAAACTCTAAGTTTAATAGTTCTCTCAATAATATATATACGGTACACCTTTATTAAAATGACGTAAGTTTATTTATAAAATAGTATAGTTTAGAGGGGCCCGGCGGGGGGTTGGAACCACACTAAGTGTCTGGCAATGAGCAGAGCAAGTTATAATACTGTTACGAGCAATATGTGAAAAAATGGAGATCTTAAAATAACGAATTTGATATGGAATTGTATATACCGTTGTTACCCAATATACGGTTTCAATGAGCCTGGTAGGTTAAGGAACCAAGAAATCTGTCTGGCAATTTAGGAAACTCAGTTTAATAGTTCTCTCAATAATATATATAAAGTTCAGATTTATTAAAATGCCGTAAGTTTATTTATAAAATAGTATAGTTTAGGGGGGTCTTGCGGGGGGTTGGAACCACACTAAGTGTCTGGCAATGAGCAGCGCAAGTTATAATAATGCTACGAACAATATATAAAAATATGGAGTTTCTTAAAATAACGAATTTGATATGAAATTTTTTACACCTTTGTTACCTGTTAACTGCCAAAGGAACCACGAGCCAGGTTTCATGTTTGGGGATTGTTCTTACTTCTGTTGGGAACACACATACAAGAACTTTCACGTTTACTAATATGACGTATGTCTGGCCGTCGTGGGCTCTTGGGCTATAAGTTTCTTACCTCACTTAACCTTGTTTGGTTTCAAATTATTGTATTAAATAAGGCCGGCTTTACATCTCCAAATTTTACTTTCGTAACAAGTTACTGAATATTTTTTTACATAAAAAATTAGAGATAAATTTTACATTTTTATGTAAAATAAAGCGTACATTTGTAAAGTCGTCGTAAATTGATTATGAGAGGCACTTCAGGGCAATTAAAAGCATCTTCATAGATTTGCTTATATTATCTTCCCTGATAATTCGTAACTCTAAAATGATACGTGTCAGGGGTTTTATAGGATCCAGTCCGTACCAAATTTTCATGGGCCGTTTACAAAGAGGGCAGGGTGTAACTACAATGCACCAATCACCACCAGGCTGAACTGGATAATACTATACTAATACAGGATATCTAAATAAAATGCATTATTTTAGAATCGCTTGTAATATATTATTTTAAATACATTCAACGTAACACAGATAAATTAGTTCACTTCAAAAATAAACAACCGAGAAGTAAGTAGTATTTTATAAATCAATCTTGGAATGAATACATATTAAACTGTCATTTATGAACACAACATTTGTAAAGTAGGTACCATTATTATTTTTGCATTCATTACGTTAGAATAAACAATATTATGTACAAAACAAAATGTTGAAATTTATGTATCCTAAGCAAAAATAACAAACAATCTAACCACGTATCAGACTAAGCTAAACTACATATACGTATTACAATACTGTATTATTTATCAACTAGGCTAAATTTGTACTGCGATTTTTCGGACGATGTCCAAAAGGTAACCGTTTCTGCTGGAAAGGTAGTCTGTCACGTTTCTTGATTGTAATTTCTGCGTTTATTAGTTGGTCTAACGTCTAAAGAAGAGAAAATTGCTATAAGTATTTTTAAAAGAATCGTAATATCTAGAAACCAAGTTTTATAAACACATCAATATGGATTTTTTCACCTTATACATAATACTCAAAAAAATATTTCTATAGGATATGCATGCATAAAAAAATCTTTTAAATATACCCTTGACTATTTGTGTAGACAATCGACTATTTGTGAAGAAATAGGAATATTTTATATATTACGATTAATTTAATGGCTTTACCTGTTTATCAATAAGATTTCTATCCTCGAATGCAGTTACAATGTTTTGAAATTCTTTTTGGATGTCTTTGCTACTTGATTTTTCCACAGCATTGCGAACTTTTTCCACCTATTTTAACAATAAAACTAATTCAAATAAATTAAATATAAGCAAATAACCCGCAATCACTAGCGCCGGGTGGACAGCACCCCCGATATAAGAAAATACAATTTCCTTTTAAGTTTCATTTTTATGACATAATTTAATTTTTTCGTTGGTCTAGTGGAATGCCGCTTTACTATCCAATAGTCGCGGGTTCGATTCCTCGTGTATCGGTCTGGGTGCATTCTTTGTATATTATGTATTTACAAAAAAAATCTAAGTATTTATATCAGTTGCCTAGTACCCATAACACAAGCTCTGCTTACCGTGGGACTAGATGGCGCTGTGTGAATTGTTCAGGGTTATTTATTTATTATTATGTACAAAATTATATTAAAGACGAATTAAGAATATATTTGCTTTATTACACTCATCAAATATATCATAAACACAGAACTCGAATGTATGGAGTAGCCACAAAAATCCACGAGTTCTGAGGAGGTTAGTAACGGTACGCGCGAATGACCGCAGACTAAGCATCGCCATCTAGACCCAAACTTAGCAGAGCTTTTGTTATGGGTATTGGACAACTAATAGAAATACATAAATACATTTTTTTAAAAACATTTTACTAAAAAATTCAAGAGAATGTTTGAGTATGGATGAATAGATGAATGGATGTTTGTTACTCTATCATGCAAAAATTTCATCATGCAAAAAATTAAATTTTACAGTAATCTAGCTTATACATCAGAATAATACATAGACTGTAATTTCAAAGGATATTATGTGAATTGAGCGAAAATTAAAAAGTGTGAGGCAGACGATGTTGCATGGGTCAGATAGTACGTAATATGCAAAATCAGCCAGACAAACAACGAATACTAAAAGACTTACGGTTTCCTCAAAGAAAGTATGTTTGTCTTTCTGTTCTGGAATATCTATATTCAAAACTGATCTTAGCACACGCAGTGCCTCGTCTAATCTGCCCATATCTGCTAATGCCATTGCCTGCAATGTAAGAATATAACAACAATTAGATACTGAAATACAAGTAATTTACTGAAACATAAAAGTATTGGATTTTACATCGTATCAAATCTTTATAACTTTAAAATTACAATCATCATCATTATCATCTCAGCCCGGAAGACGTCCACTCCTGAACAAAGCCCTCCCCCAAAGATCTCCACGACGATCGGTCCTGCGCTGCTCGCATTACAATAATAACAAATAATTTGGTATATTAATTAAGAATGCAAACATGCTTGTGACAACAAATAGCTAAAATTATATCACATCAATATTACCAAAGTATTTGAAGAATTATCAGAGGTAAACTTTAACAAATTCATCTGTTTGTGTACCTCTGCCATACTATTTCAACTATCAAGCAGCTCTACAAAAGCCTAGGTAAAACTTGTTAAGTTGTAATATTACGCTACCTTTATATTCCTAACCGTAACATAATGTTGTTTTTGTGCAGATATTGACTCGAGTGCAATATGTGGTGCGCCTTGTTTCAATGCCAGTCCTGAAATCATATCAAGAAAATAAACATATATAGTTATTTGTGTAACCTAATAGTAGATTTCAGTGTCCATACTTTAATTCTCCATTTGGGATGCAGTATTTTATCTTTATAACAAATGTTTGAAGTCAAAATACAGTATTGTAGTCAAGGTTTTACATTTGAATACATTCAATTAATTTATACTTATATTACATGTACATGGATAGATAGAATAGACTTCATTACAATATTTATGTATAATACAATAATTATATATATAAGCTATTTGTTATTTAAAAAATAAAATGATTAATATGAAATAAAGGAAGAAAGATTATATAAATAGAAGACGAAACTGTAGGTAATACTTGTGAAGTTATAATTAAAACAAACCAGCAAAAAATGTACATGCTCTCCTCAGTGGTGCATTGCCTACATTTGTCATTTCAGACCACAGGTTCGACGCATACTCCAGACTCTGAGGAGTATTCTGTAAAAAATGTAATTTTATTAATATTATAAATGCGAAAGTTTGCGAGCATGGATGGACGTTTGTTACTCTTTCAAGCAACGCGGGTGAAATCGGAGACACAGTCAGCTAGCCATCAAATAAATAAGTAAAAAATTATTGGAATTTCATTACATGATACTATTATTACTATTTTATTGAATTATAGTATTCTATACATCTTTTACAACTACTAAATCCCTGAAACTCCACCATATCAGAATTTTATAAATATCTATATATTTATATTGTTCAGCAGAATGTAAAACAATTGATTAAAAATTATAACAGTATATATTATGCCATAAATCCGGACATACATATACATAAAAAATAATACTCTCCATTTATAGACAGTCAGATAAATATACATTCAACACACTTACATTTCAACTGTATTAAGTAATTGTGATAATTTTCAATATTCTGTATTGGTAATTAGTATACAAAAAATAAAACTAATAAAATTGTTTAAACAAAATAATTTGCCTCACCTGTTTGTAGCAGGCTGCTAAAATCAGTACAACTGGATACTTTGGGAATTTAGTCATGTTAAGCTGTTTTTCCTTTACCACCTCAAAAACCTTGTACATCTCATCATACATTTCATGGTTATAAAGTAAATCAAGTAGAATATGGTAAGATACCAGCTGATCAAAGAAACCACTATTACTGGGATCCTCAAAACACTGCAAAATATACATTTTACATAAGTATCAAATAATGTTAATTATTTATATCTTATTGATGTCTCTGAATATGTGTGATTTATATGTGTAATTATAGTTGTACATGTTGTAATTTATAGTTATACCCTGTTTGAATTATGTTACATAGCAGTCTGTTAAATATATGATCTGCATACCAAACATTTATATTCAGCATTTTTACTAGTTTTTACATACAAATATTAAATTATAATATCTATATATAGTATTTAGATGTATAAATGGACACATAATACACTTTGGTAATAGTTAGTAGCTAAGATACACATACAGTAATATTGTCTGATATATTCTATTTATATATTTTACCTTTATTGCTTCACTTGGTGCATCCAGAAAATGAAACATTCTCATTACCACTGGACCAAATACAAAAGATCCAAACCGAAACTCAGTAGATTGTGAATTAAATCTAAAAATAATTATAGTAGTAAATACTTATGAATTCATTACATACATAAAAGTATATTTTATAACAATTTTATTACTAACACCCATTGACAACACAAAAAATTATGCTAATTATTTGGAGGAAATTATGCTAATTATCCATATCCATAATTAGATTACTGTAAGTATATTTATTTAATTTGATAAAATTATATAATTACTTTTTAATCATATTTAACAATAGTTCTAAATCTGTTGGTTCAGCCATATGCACCATATTTTTTAAATCCTCTGTAAATATCATACTTTTAGGATCAGTAACAAAACCATCTATCTTTGATCGGAACTTGTCTGTGAAATTTGCAAATTGATCTTTGGTACGTTTTCTTGCTTGTAGATAGCCATCTATCCCCAATGCAGTTGGAGAATAAAGTTGATTAACTGAAAAATTAGGAAAAATATAACAACATTACACTACACAATATTCATAAGAAATATAAATCTTCTTTAGCTCTACTACACAGTATTAGAACTATGTAACAAACATCAAGACATTTTTAAAAATTATAATTAACATAATATTTAAGTCCCATAATTCATCTAAAATATTCGGCTAAATTTAAATTTAGAGGTTACCTTGTGTAATATGTATTAACCTAAAAAGAGATTTATTATGTTTTGAACTATGAAACACGGAATTTAGAAATAGTGACATATTTATGTTATAAATACGATTTAATAATGTTAATAATAACAATAAATTTATTCAGAACAGTTAAAAAAGTATTTTTTAAGATTATTTTGAAAGAATGTTATTTCGAATTGACATAAAGTGACATCAGGAATGACTGACAGTTCTAATTATCTAAGTTGATAATGTAGTCTGTCTATAATAACAAAAAAAATATTAAATAAAATACACAAAACCCCCCCAAATACGGCTCTGTTTATGAAGTGGTAACTTATTTTAAAAATAGAACTTCTTATACCTATGTAGATTAAGGTCGGATTTCACCAAAAAAACTGATCACGTTTAGTTCATACTGAACGCCATTAAAACGTTTAAACGTGTTCAAAGCTTCATTTTGCATTTCACCACTACAAATTTCGCTAAACACGTTTATAAATTCTGAACGTCTGATTTCCTACAGTTAACTCTTTAAACGTATTTAAAGCAGCTGTCAGTTGTCAAACTGTCATCGATCAAATTTTTGACAATATAATATCGGGAATAAAAAGAAAATTGCCCGTAATATAAAAAAAAATCCTCAATAAAATATATTTTTACTAGTTTATAGGTAAAGGTTGTTGTTTTATACTTTGTAGTTGACGGTACTTATTAAATTAAAAATTAAAGAACTTATCCTAATTATCACATGATTGAATTATAAATAATTCTTAGTATCATTTTATTTAAATTACCCATTGCATCAAATATTATTTTATGAGCGTGTAACACTGTGAACGAATGAAAATCTAAACTTCATTTTAGTAAACGCGATCTGTATAATGTTGGTGAATTTAAAGTAAAACGAGATCAACGTCGTTCTTTTTTTCGAGTTCACCCTGAACTCCGTTTCCTTGAACGTGTTTATGCTACTGTTGGTGAAATCGGACCTAAGTGTCATGTATATTCCTCCTTTGGACAAATTCTTTATAGAAACAATGGTATGAAGTGTGCTAGTAGTACTAATACTACTATGTTTAAATTTTAAGGAGAATTTGGGCTAAATTTAATTGGAATCCAAGATAATGATTTCACTTGTGACAATGATTCTAATTACTGAAATGGATGGACGTATGACTGACGCTTTTGCCTTTTCCTTAACCGTTCTTTAGGTAGTCTGTGAGAAAGAAAAGTACCAAAAAAGATCTCAACCAGTTACGTCAGATTTCTATTCTATATTACTTAAAAAAACAAAAACGAAGTGAAAATTTTGAATCCTCTAAGCATGGAAATAGTGTTTATGTAAATTCTAAAGTATAATATTACATTGATTTTGTTATTTATAACCAGTGTGTGTTAAATCAGTAAAATATATATAGCTAACTGACAGTACAAATATTGCTTCTATCAATGAATCAATTTTCAGACTGTCGCCATGTAAACCACTAATAATTATTGTCTGTTACATACTAATATATCATCAAACACAACATTTTGTTTATAAAAAATATCATAATGTGTTTTTTTTAATATTCAGTAATTCCAATCTCTAATCCTAACCCGAACTTTAGGGTTAGGATTAAAAGATTGGAATTGCTGTGTTTTTATGTATATACATAAAAACATAATTTTAATGCAATAAGTAGGTATAAGGTAATAGAAACCCTAATTCTAAAATTCACTATTTGTACCCATCCAGACAGTGCTGTAAAACAACAAGTTTATTATAATTATTACTGTGTCTGTTGTAAAAAAAAGCTATCATATACTTTGCCAGGTAGCAATAGTCCTCGGACACGTGAAATTTTGAATGTAGATTAGCCAATCTGAAATTTAATGTATTTCTATACATTATTTATTAAATGATATATGCCAAATTATAGAAAAAATATACTTTGTTAGTAGGATTTAATCATTTAGTATCCTGTAACAGACAATAATAATTAGTAAAATAAAAAAACTGAAGTCTACAGTACCCATATCATGAATTATTAATTTAAAAATAGAACATAATAATTTGATTACTTAATATTTGTGTAAGTTTATGCTTTTGATACTTTAATGTAATAATTACCATATAGAATCAATTAATGTATAAACCATTATATGAACATAATTTTATCTTTCTTAATTTATATAAGAATGATGTTATGTATTGGGATTATTAAATAACTATGGGACACTTTGTTGTGCAGTGTGTCCTATATATGCTATGTCTATAACCATACTGTACTGTAATTCTAGAAATTTCATATTTCATAATGTGTATTTTTTTACTTATGCAGCAAACTATATTCGTCTCGGAAAATAAACAGATTGTATGTAACATACATGCATAAATACTGTATATTCATGCTATGTGTACTGTTTTCTGATTGTGTTAAAATTATAGAAGACATTGAAATGGATGAGTACCTTATAAAATCACTTTTGTTGTTCCCTATTATTATTATTTATTATTATATATTTCTTGTTTTAAATGTCCTTTATATTATACATGGCATTTGTTTAATTAAAATGTTATGTATTTTTTCTAGCCAACAACTAGTATAATTTATGATGTGCTAAGTAAACCAATCACAGAGAGAATAGAATAAAAATGGATGGTTCAGTAAAGTGACAAAAACTGGAACCTAAGTCTGGACTGAATGACTACAAAGACAATAGTTATGAATTATAAGATGAGAAGTCTTCGAATGACACAGTTCCGAAAACAATAATGTTGGAACTGAGTACCGATGATATTGCCCAGGGTGGAAATGTAATCAATGATACAGTAACCGTAATTTATAAATGACATTAAAGTACAGAGTCAAATTCATGATAGTGTTTTAATAATTTTCATTTAAGTAGTTTTGTACTTAACAAATTTAGTTTTTAAAATACTTAAATGAAACTTTCATGAATGTGGCTAAAACAATGCTCAAATGTTAAAATATACATTTTAAAAAGTTTGATATTTCATTGTAATACTTGGTTATTTCTTGAATTAAAACTTGTTAATATTTTTTTTATCATATATTGTATCTTTACAGATAACTACATTTATATACTGGAGCTAACAAAAATACCATATATTTGTCTAATTAGCTGAAGCCATGGCAGATTACCAACAGTCTAAAAGAAAATCATCCAGAAGCTTCAAAGAATCCAGAAAATATAAACAAAAAAGAAATTGTAAAGAAGACACTAAGTACCATTATTATGAATCGAAAACACCACCTTTACCCACATGTAGTATTACCATGGATGAACTTATAAAACAAAGGGAGTCTCTGAAACAAGAATTGACAAAAATTAAATATAATGAAAATTTGGAAACCAAAGAAAAAGCATATTATTGTAATGAATATGGAAATTCAGAAGACTATGCAGTTTCCAAATATAAAAGGAAATATGATAGTGATAAAAAAAAGAATGATACAAATAAAATAGAAAACAAAAACATTGGAAACAAATCACCAGATCGCATTGATGATTACTCTCATATAGAATCAGAAGATGAAGAAAGTATTATAGAACAAAGAAGAAAACAGCGCAAACAATTATTAGAAAAACTTGTTACCAAACAAAAAGACAAAGCAGAAAATGTAAAAACACAAGAAATAGTTAAAAATACCATTCACAACACTAAGACTGATAATATTCTACATAATACTCAAATAACACAACTTGCTAAAGAAACAAGAGATATGTTTTCTGAACAAGATGATTTTGCTGCCAACAACATTTCTGAACTTGTGACTCAAGATAATGAAAGTAATGCACAATTAATTGATAACTGGGATGATGAAGAAGGTTATTATAATACAAGAGTTGGAGACATTATTGACAATAGATATACAATTAAGAGTATATTGGGTCAAGGTGTTTTTGCAAATGTTGTTCGTGCTCATGATATTAAAGCTGGCAATAAAGATGTTGCTATAAAAGTTATAAGAAACAATGATCTGATGTATAAAACTGGCTTAAAAGAATCATCTATTTTAAAAGAAATAAATGATGCTGATTTAGAAGACAAGTATCATTGTGTGAAGTTTATTAGACAATTTATGCACAAGGGACATTTATGTTTAGCGCTAGAATCTTTAAATATGGATATGCGAAGTGTAATTAAAAAATATGGCAAAAATGGACTTAATATGGAAGCATTAATGAGCTATAGTAGACAACTAATATTAGCATTGCGACTTTTAAAAAAACTTGATATAATTCATGCAGATATTAAACCAGACAATATTCTTGTAAATGAAAAAAAAAATATTTTAAAATTGTGTGACTTTGGTTCAGCTTCGAAAGTTGGAGATAATGAACCAACGCCATATTTAGTCTCCAGATTTTATAGGGCACCTGAAATAATATTGGGTATACCATACAAACACGGTGTAGATATATGGTCGGCTGCATGTACAATTTTCGAAATGGCAACTGGAAAAATACTATTTACTGGAAGCTCTAATAATAAAATGTTGAAATGTTTTATGGACTTCAGAGGGAAAATTCCAACTAAATTAATACGAAAAGGTAAATTTAAAGATCAACATTTCAACTACAACAATAATTTCCTTCTGCATAAAAAGGATGAAATAACTGGTAGGGAAAAAGTAGTTGAAATAATTAACATTTCTGCCACTAAAGATTTACAGACTGTACTTAAAAAATTCGCACACAATTTAACTGCAATTGATGAAAAGAAACTTAGTCAATTAAAAGATTTCTTAGAAAGAATTTTAGTATATGACGCTCACCAAAGAATGTCTATTTCAGACTGTATAAAACATTCGTTTATTCAAGATATACAAAAATGATATTAAAGAAAACCATATATAGAAAGGTCAAAGAGAATAAATATTTTTTGTTAATTAAAAACATTTTCTTTTATTTCATACTAGGCTTCTTAAAAATGATATTGGCATTAACATTTTTCATCAGAAATAATCATAATTCCTAAATATGCAAATTCGGGTCTAATTGACGTGGTTTTTCTATTCCATTACATAATGGATTTATATTATTTTAATTACGTTACCAGTGCCTGATATTTGTGTGTGAGACCACAAATATTCAGGGCGAAAACCGGATCACCGCTGTGTTAAAGCGACACTAGTGTTAAAAGCCGAGTTAAACAAACAAAACTACGCATCGAAATGATATCCAAACTATTTATTGCCTAATGATGCTTCGTTTAGAGGCGTTACACTCATCGTAATGATGCAGGTATACAAATGACAATAACGGTAAATCTATAAAGAAGAAGGACATAACCGATGGAGGATATTATGACTCATAACGCTTTCGTTAAGGGTGGTCAGGTTTCCACTGAATATTTGTAGTTTCCCACTTTTTTTTTTATAACAGGGGGCTCACTTCACTCACACACACGGCTGATGGTAAGTGATTACCGCCGCCCATGAGCACCGGCAACACCAGGGGAATTGCAAGTACGTTGTCGGCCTTTTAAAAAGGAATAAGCTGGAAGGTGATTCAGCAATGTGGTTGTGCGAGGCAAAAAGTTTTTAGAAAACCGCACTGTGGAAGACCGCCATTCATCTAGATGATCAGGATGGTATTTCAGTTTCTGGCGGGTGGTACGGTGGTGAAACTCAGCAGCTGGTATTAATCCGAAAAATTCCTCAGAACACTCCCCGTGATATATGCGGTAGAAAATGCACAGAGATGCAATATCACGCCGCAAAGCCAATGGGTCGAGTCTGTCACATAGACGTTGATTACCAATGATTCTGGCTACTCGGTTCTGAATGCGGTCAAATGGAAGTAGCTGGTATTGTGGTGCTCCCGCCCAGAGATGAGAACAGTATTCCATGTGCGGCCGGATCTGCGCCTTGTATAATTGCAAGCGATGGGCCGCCGTGAAATACCGTCTCACTCTACTGAGCACACCAAGCTTTTTTGAGGCTATTTTAGCCTTGTCCTCCAAATGACCGCAAAACTGAACGTCACTGGATATATCAACGTCAAGGACCTCGAGATTTGGCTTCACATCAAGGAGAGTGTCTTGAAACTGAGGAGATACGATAAATGGATTCTTTTTAGCGGTAAACGCGCAAACTTGTGTCTTCTTGGGGTTGAATTGAACACAATTTTCCTGACCCCAAACCGAAACTTGATGGAGAGAAGTTTCGATTTCGGACACAAGTTTGTTCCGGCACTCTTATAACTTTTGCCTGCGACATATTAGCATGGCCGCTGTACAAGGCATCTCCGGTACTGTCATCCGCATAGCAATGAATGTTGTTAATTTGTAACATGTCATTGCAGAAGGAACAGAGTCGGAGACAGCACACAGCCTTGCGGAACACCAGCATTCACAGAGTGTGGGTCGCAGCAAGCACCATCGACAACGATCTTGATGCTCCGATCAGCGAGAAAGCTGGCGACCCATTTGCATAACTTCGCAGACATCCCGAAGGATGGTAGCTTTGAAAGAAGAGCTTTGTGCCAAGCCCGATCAAAGGCCTTCGCAATATCCAGACTAACAGATAGGGCCTCCCCCTTACTCTCAATAGCCTCTGCCCATCGATGTGTCAAATACACTAGAAGATCACCAGCTGAGCGACCCTGGCGAAAGCCATACTGACGATCAGAAATCAACTGATAGGTGTCGTAGGAGTTTACGGTTGACAATCGACTCCATGGTCTTTGAGAGTAAGGAGGTGATGTCTATGGGCCTATAGTTAGCTGGATCTGAGCGATCTCCCTTTTTAGGGATCGGATGAACCAAAGCAGTCTTCCAAAGTTTCGGACCTGTAGAGTAGCAGTACCGGAAAAGACGCGTTAGTACCGGAGCCGGGTGTAATCAGGTGCACACGTCCTGAGCACAATAAAATAGCAACAAAAAAACAAAGCACTAACTGTTCCCGCGACTACGTTGGCGTGAAATTTAGATTAGCTGACCCGGCGTACTTCGTAACGCCTAACAGTAGATTCTCTAATTTATTAGTTTATTTAATACTTATTCTGTTATTCAGGACGCCGGGTCAGCTAGTAAGATAAAAGAAAGTTATTAAGTCAATAATTACATTGTCAAAAAATAAAATTAGTTTAATAGTCAATAAAAAATTACAATTGCATATTTTTGTTATGATACCAACTTAATATATTTCATTTTATTTTTACTTGTTCGAAATAAAGTTTTATTTTTATTGCAGTACTTTATGATACACGAAATTCTTTAAAATTTTCTTGAAGATGCACCGTATCATGAAAAACCAATTAGTCCCGTTTCAAAATAATATGCATACATATAACATGCATCTTATATTGTTGTTCATGAATCCATCATGTTGCAAAAGCTTGTCAAACACGGTAGTCAGAAACATGAACGTCACGTGGTACATGCTCAACTTTGTAAAAGTATAGCTATAATTAAATCCTAGTGGACAGTATGCGAAACTACCGCCATCTCTCGGATTAATTTGCTTTGTTATCGATGTTTCCATCTGCGGCAATATCAGTCTGAACCACATTTGGTTATACAAATATTTTTTTGGTGTCGCACTTAACTACCTCTGACTACAAAGATGGTATACGTTATGCAATAACTTAATCTTCAATCATTCTTTTATAATATTCATATACAATACACAAACATATATAGAAATAAAACAAACATATCATATAAGTAATCCTTTTTATGTTGCTGATGAGACAAAACAATAAAAATATATGCCATCAACCAAAATATCACTTAACTTTCACATGGACTTATGTGAATTATTATCACAATTTATAAAGGAAAAATTGACAATAGTCATGACCATTAGGGTTAGCCAGAAAAGATTCAATTGACATTCGATACTAAACTGCAAGATCCGCAAATTATGTTTTTAACATAAAGTTAATACAATTGGATTACATATAATAAATCACAAAATCCTTACAAGTGAACTTATCACTAATCACAAATAAAGATAAGTGTAATATTCAAATATAGTTCCACTGTCGTAAACTCCATCAGACTAGTATTGTAAAATAAAGAAAATATAAAAACAACAACAAAATAAGTGGGTATACCATCACAGTAAAATAATTACATAATGTATATATACAATAATGCTTTTTTTATTTTTAAAACTATCCTAACAAACTTAGCATGCGCACTCTCAGTAGTAGCGTAAGGGTAGCCATGCACATGGTGACGCGAATGTTTTACGATCTTCATTTTGTACGACTGCACCCTAAACAACTCGTGTACGAAGGCACACTATCTACAAAGTGTCTGTAGCACATTGGTTTATTAGCAAACTACATAAAACCCAGCTTTTTATTCCAAATAATATATGTCTGCAAATATAGATACGTAATACCTATAAAAACAATTTTGTAAATACTGCTATGTAATTTGATTTTTAGAATCAAATAATTCACTCTGTCCCACTATCAAGGTGAGACAGAACACTGCTTTCGTCTCTGTTGCAATGGATTATAAAATCGAGAAATTCAGATATGTTTATAACACAGTGAGGTAGCAAAACGATATGAAAATATATTCGACGTTAACATTAAAATTTATAACTCTACGAATTTGGCAACATCTCTGTTTTATATATACCTTGTAACACATAAAGTAAAAAAAGTACATTATTAGCATGTACTATTTATTAATATTGCAACAAATATATTTTGACAAAATAAACGGTTTACGCTTTGTTATAAGCTTATTCAATCTGTTACCAAGCTTCGTGTCTATCCATCATCTATATTAGAATATCTATTGTATATACAAATAGAGAGATATATATAACGTGCAATATTCTGATTTGTGAAATAGGAATGCACCGGTATGATGAGTGTTTACTGTACTAGTACCTTGTTTCCCACAAGTTTGAAACCTTTCTAATTATTACTTAAAATGAAGGATGAAGTGCTACAGAATATTTACACAGATCTATAAATTATATATATAAAAAAACACTTTTGTTGTTAAATTATTTTCCAACAATTCTATATCTTCGGTCGGTGGTGATTACATTAAAAATAGAAATTCATAAAATTAAATTGACAATATAAACATATTTAAGTAGAATTATGTTATTTTGCTTTCACCCAATATAAATAAACTAACTTAAGGTCTGTTATTTTTACAGAATTCACAAATAATTGATTCTGATAAAGCCATAAATATCTTGATGTGAATAATTATTCAATCTTTGAGGCTCTACAATAATTGTTATGCATTGCAAAATTACTATAACCACTCTCTTCTATGTTAAGTTTTAAATAATTGGCTATTGTTTACATTATCAAAACCAATCTATACTATCATTTATTTATAATTACGCCCTAAGTTTTCGATCCATGCACTCAATTTTAGATTTCAATCTATACTGTTTAAATACTAGACTACTTTATATAGATGTTGTCTTTCAAGATTAAAAGTCATATGCTTGGATCAAATCTTTAGGGAAACATACAACATTACTGAAAAACATATTTTTACTGTAACTTTAATACCGTTTTTTGTTAGTACATTAAAATATAGGTGATTAAAGAAATAATTAGCATGTTTAATTAAATGGTTTTGCAATTATTTACATAGGTACTTAAAGTAATTTTTAATATATTCTAATGTCAGATTTTTGGATGGATCCATTACAAATAGACTATATTACTTAAAAGAGAAATGGGATGAAATACAGTCTTAAGAGATGATTTGATCACTGGCTCTAACTATCACAAAGGAAGCTGCACAATGCTGTGAATAGATGAAGAACTTAAAATATGTTGTATAGAGATTCTAAGTAGTTGTAACTCGTAACCAATACCTGATACATTAAGTAGGTAGCACTAACGCTTTTTAGTATACTCTATTAATAGTATGTAGTTCTAAAATGTTTTTCTTTGGATGTTTATTCTTACTATCTATTCCATTGTTAGGTCGATAGCATGTTTTGGCTTTGAAAGCCTGGTGCTCCTATTTCTATGGATTGGCCTGATGCTATTGAATCGGGGCTTTGGAGAGACGCGCTGTACACTGGGTTCATTGGAGTTGTACCTTCCGCTTCAAAAAGCGTACTGTCATACACGCTATTACTCTGCTGGGAAATATTACATGCAAATAAAATAAACACAATCATGGAAGTAGAATACATTTAAGATCTATATTAATATATGATTTCAGATTCATTAAAAGTGTTAGATTTTATTTTTCTACTGGGTGTTAAGTATGCAGTAAATAATTTATATATATATTGATCCAAGTAACAGCAAAAAATTAATATTTAGAAATGTAATTATTGGAATACTGCATATACTGAATGAAACGTAACGATTATTTACTGAGTCAGTGTTAAGGGAAAACACTGCAAACCGATGAATCATATTCTCTATGATTTCACCTTAAGAGGGCATTGTAAATTGTTTTACCTACAATGTTACGTATAGTTTACGATTCAAAAATTAACAACAACTCTGTTATCCGTGGCTTCACTATGTAAGTGAAAACAATTCTCATATGAAGCAAACTGAAATTGTTAGTTTGGCGATTTTGTAGTTGCAGTTAGAAATTTAGTTATACAGTTCGCAGCTGCTTTGAACGAAACACTAAAAGAATTTCATTTTTTCTTTAAGATCAGCCTGATAAAACATACCCATTGACATTAAAAACTACTTGAAATTGCTTATTTCAATAAAAAAAATTCTGTTTAATTAGCCCCATTATCTGATTATCTCATCCTGATAATAGTATATATGTACTCATTTGCCACAAAATTATTATACCTGGTAAATGTAGTCAGAATCCGTCTTGAGTGAGCTAAAACTCTGCTGATGTGGCAGAGACACTTGATCGTCATCCATGGGCTCGTCCATTTGAGCCTTGTATGAGAACATTATACTTGGCTGTGAAACACTGCAAAAATACAAAATGACGTTTTGTATTTTGAAAGTAATAACGAATATGTGACGAGGGGGAAAGGGGATTGCTTGGATTGGATTGATAATCTTATTGCTACATTGCTAGCACCCGGTCAGGTTGACCTCCACGCGGTTCCTCCTGGAAACCATCGTGATATTTTTATGTGTTATTGTGATAATTCTTAGTGAATTTGTCACGATGGGCTAACCGGGCTGACCGGACCTCATGCTCATCTTATCATGCTCCAAAGGTGCCCCGCCAGCGTAAACCGTTAGCGGAGACAGGTGCCCCATTACATTATCATCCATGAAAAAAAATGTAATGAAACTCACGGTATTCATTCTCTTTTATTTTTCTAATATAAAAAAAATATATTACATCACTAATGCAATTAATTTTTAATTTATGCCAAATAATCACGTGTATAAACAACTGTCTTAGGCGACTTTTTAATGCGAAAAAAGGGTTGTAAGGGGTTGAAAATGAAAATGCAAGGTTATCTTTATGCGGTTCAACCGCATAAAGATAACCTTGCATTTCGCGTTGTAAATATATGTCACACAGCGCGAGTGCGAAGTTGCGCGCGCCACTAATTATTGTCAATCCGTTGTCTCCTTATAAATTTAAATATATAAACGTTTGCTCTGCAATTTTATTTTATAAATATCCCTACTTTCTATAACTGATGACCCCGCTCTTGAACAAGAACGTAAGAACACATTATTAATATTTTTGAAGAATAAAACGACATATAATATTAAGAAAGTTGTCAATATATCTTTTGAAGAAACAACACCTACCGTTCCATCCCGAGATATTCAGGATCGTAATACGCATTCCTCCCTTGTGGCCAGAATAGTCAGAGATATGGTTCGCGCAAGTAGAGACAGTTTGCAATTTCGAATATCACATCTATTATTCTATTATTTTGATTTTTTTATGTTATTGGCCAACTGGACCGCCAATTTTCAAAAGTCAAAGAATTTTTTAAACTGTTTATTAAATAAATATGATATTTAAAATTTGTAAAAATGGCCATTCAAGGGGTAAAATAAAATAGCAGATAAAAGTTTATATGGAAATTCGACATATTTGAAGCTAGAACGATGAAACTTTTTTCTTTCGCTTTTTTGGTTTAATGTAATAAATACCTTACTAATATTATGAATGTGAAAGTAACTCTGTCTGTCTGTCTGACTTACATGCCAAAACTAATGAACTGATTTAAATGAAATTTTGTACACAGACAGTCTAGAGCCTGAGAAAGTACATAGGTTACTTTTTAATGCGAAAAAGTTATATAGAAGTATAGTCATTTTTAAAGGGTTGAAGCGTGAATCTTACTGTTTTTGGCCATTTTCATTATTAAATATAATTAATGAAAATGGGGAGTAGGTAGTCAAAAGGGGAGTTGAAATGTTGTATGTTGTTGTCAATACTTGTAGTATTAATACTTTTAAAACTAGAAACTTGAAACTTATTTTTTCGGCTGTTGATTGGATTGTATATAATTCTGTATGGAAATTTTCATTTATGAAGCCAGAGCGATGAAACTTTTCTATTGGGTTAGATTACTAAATATTTTTTCATTATTTGGTCAAGGTCACTATTTCACACAGTCGAAGTCGCGGGTACAGCTAGTGATATAAATAAATAGATGGTTATTATTATTTACTTACAGAGATATATATTATGTATAAAAGTCATCTAAGTACCTCTGTTTTACCTATTTCTGTGTGGTTTCATAGGTGAAATATGGTAATGAAACAGGGTACAGACACATTTAATATTATTAGAAAAAGGATAGAATAATATATGTGCACCTTATTCCTACAATATCAATACTTGAAAGGTGTCACTAGAGGCATGATTTCAGTCCCCAGTAATGGCAATAAGGTGCCACAAGCTTCAGAATTTTATAATGCTTAAGGCTTTCGTAATCCAGAAGGCCTCCAGCAAAGTCTAGTTAAAAAAACTATTTAACTGAAATTGTATAAAAATACCTGAAGAACTCGCTGAGGAATGTGTGGTATACAAGTGGCGTATATAATGAAAAATATAGCCAAGTGGTCACATCTACCACACACAGCCCTGATTGCATGGAGCCCCATGCCAGGAGCCCTGCGCCGACTGCTTGAGTTGTGTCAAGGAGTGCAAGCAGTAGCACATACAAGTAGAAAGATAGTTTAGCTGGAAAGTTAAAATTTTAATAAAGTGGGTTGGAGTCATTCTAATTCTACTATTATTACATTTTTTAATATTTCAATTATTTATGCATTAAAAGCCTCAATGGTCTAATAGTTTAACACACCACTATATTTCTGATGGTCATATGTTTGGTTCTAGCATAAACATTTGTGTTTATTGTAGTGGTTTAGGTGTATTCTATGTAAAGAAGAAATAGAATATGTATGCTCACAATGTATTGTAAATGTAGTATACGCGTTACGAGGTCCTAGCAAAAAACCTCACTGAAACCTGTCATAGCGAAAGTAATGACAGTGAATATTTAAATTAAATAAAGTGCTAAAATCGTTGGATATAATGTACTAGATTTAGGTTTTAGGTAGAAGATAAAAACCTAAAATATAGCTATGATGCTAAGTAATCTACAAAAAAATTTAGGTAATTTATATTAAGTATTTTCCTAATGAAGGTAATAGATCTAACTTCTAATAACCTATCACTGATAGTAACATCAATTTAATAGCACAAATAATATAAACCATAAATTACACCATTCAAGTTTGAAGGAAATATGTATACAATGTTATCACAAGTTATTGCTCTGTTTACATTTATATCTGTATCAACATATAGCTAAAAGCTATAATGGTTTACACATTTTAATTAGTTACATATTTAAATACAATATCATGAATAGGATGGTTTCCACATATACATATTATTAAATAATAATAATAACCCAGACCATTCATACACCATGTAATTATCTTCATAAATATCATTTTGATACATGAAAAGCTAGTTAGAAGTGATTAATAAAATATTGGAGATATATTATGAATCACCTCTAACTAGCCCTTCAAATATAAAGTTATGAACACATTACATTACGAAACTTACTAGGTAAAGCCAAATAATCTCTCAATGGAATCCAAGGCAGTAGCAATATTAGGAAATAGATGAAAGCAAACACCAGTGATGATGTGAACCAGAACAGCATTCCGCCATGTCCAAACAGATTATAATCCCTTGTGTCAATATGGAACATATCATCAGGCATCACAATTTCCAATGTGCCTTGTGTTATAGTGAATGCCAGTGATATAAGTGATGTAGCTAGGAGCACATATCTGATACTGCTGCGGCTATCCAGGTGACCTAAAATTATAATAAAACTGAATGACATATGTACCTCCAAATATTCACACCAGATGAAATATTAATATGTTATAGGTAGATATATATCTACATCAAAAATACTTTTAAAAAACTATTTAGTTCAATATTCATAGTTATTATGTATTTACAAATTATATTAACATAATGTGTTATTAATAAATGAAATAATATATAAGATGGATACCACATTAACATATACCCATGATAGCCTTGGTTGATTACTCGTGGATTACCATTCTGGAGAATCAAGGTTTTATGTCTGTAAATTCACAATAATACCCTTCCACCAAAACATATCTCACAACACATACTTAAAATAGTGGAGACATAGGAAACACAGACAATTTTGCACAAATCTACCTTATTAAAGGTTTCTTAAATTAAAAAGTTTGCACCATTTCCAGGTGTCTAAACCTGTGACACTGAGACCTATGATGACCTCTTGTGTTTGCCTTGTCTTAGAGTTTGCTACTTGAACCTGTCAGGCATAAGAATTGAAGAATATTCTTAGGAGCATTAGTTTTTCTCACAGTAAAATTTAATCATTTGTAAGGTTGATACACCTCTGAATGTTTTAAAATTTCATTATTTGAATGAGGATACTCACCAAAAGCCAAACCAAATATCACAACACTCATCTCTGTAGCCAATAGAAAGAATCTCACTGTGACCCATAACACTTTATCCACCAGCCCGCCAAGTGGCATAGCTGCATTCACTGTCATAGACACAGCACATCTCACTAAGCTAACGATCACGTTTCCCCAAACCAATGCATAAAACGTCAAAAATATGGGACTGCTGGTTGCACGCAACTTCAACTGAGCCTTATTAAATCTTACTATTAAGAATAGCACAAATAATGCATTTGGTATCAAAATTATCAAATCCCATATACGGACCCTGAAATTAATACAGAATTAATACAAAAGTCAACAAAAATCAACTGTATGATATTGTGGTAAAAGTTATACCTCGAATTATTTATTTCATAGTACAAAACGTATTTACAAAAGGTGTCCTCTGTAACAGGCGGATAATCTGTTCCGTTAATTCCATACATTTTCTTAGTTTCTATTATCCAGCAGGGCTGTTACGAAAGCTAAAGCCTTCGCGCACTTTGCTAGTGATACATATCTGTATTATTCACTTTTCCAATAATCAAATTTTATAATTGTACGTCGTAACGTTAACTTAATTCTACCATTATAGAACATATATCACCCCGTTTTTTCAGATTAGTTAAATTGCTTTCTAATTTAATTTACAATGACGAAACCAACAACAAACGCAATAAATAATAGGTATAGATAGACACCACAGAACATTAATATCGTAGATAGATAAAGATTAGAAAAATGAAAGAAAATGAAATGAATGACAATTATTTTTTTTTATTTATTAATATTGTACGGCTCTGGATACAGCGCCAAAAAGAACTTGTATCCAAACCAACATAAAGTACAAATACTTAAAAAGGATTACAATTTCTTCACAGTTGGAAATAAATTTATAATAAAGTCTTGAATAGTACAGGCTTTGATAAGATCTCTTCTAGAGACTTCGGTACAAGTATATTCTTTGCTTCGGTACTTCACAATGACAATGATATGATATAAGTGCTATCAGATTTAAAATAATAATGCAGTATGACAAAGTTCGTGAAAAATTCTGAACCAATTCAACTAAAAAAATTAATGAACTAATCGTTTATGAGGTTATTACACTATATATAAAAAAGTTTAAAGAATCGGGGCATATTCCATTAGTATTTATTTATTCCGTAATTAAGTACTTACGAAAGCCTTCCTTTATAATTAATATAGATACATTTTACAATGTCTTATTTAAAATATTTATGATTTTTATTAAATATCGGATTAATTTATTTAATATGCGGCTATGTCGCATAATCGCGTATTTAAGGTCTCAGCGAGACGTTGCGACATAGCCGCAAACTACTGTCTTGTCTGTATATCGTTAATTGACATTTGTCATAAACATGTTTCTAACTTCTATGATACTGAAATATAGGTTTATTATATAAATCAATTTAAAACACTAAAACATATTTAGTAGTAGTGTTAGCGATACATAACATCCCCATATAATTTGTGACTATAGATAAAAACAAAGTGGCGAAGAAATTACATTACATAACAGCATAATAATGTATTGTTCTTTATAACATTGAAATATAAAGCTATTATATAAGTTATTTTGAATTCCTTAGAAATTCGAATATGTCTAATAAATTTAGATTTATATGGAATGGTTTCTCACGCTTTAGAATGGCTAGTAAAGTGATTTCAGATTTTCGTTCATATCGTACCTCCACTTATAAACCTTCAACACCGATTGCGCTTGGTTTTTCTCTTTTTACATGGCTGGGCTTTCAAAAGAAACTTAGCATGGAAGATGAGCTCATTCTTACAATCAAACACTGCGTACTCTTTATTGAGAGAGGCGATTACGAAAAAGCTGAACAGCTTCTTCATGTAGCTTTAAGACAAGCTCAGCAATTCCAACACCAACTTGGCATTACATATATTTACGACGTTATGGCTAATTTGGCTCTTGAAAGAAATCAACTGGATGCAGCAAAACAATTATTTATTGCCGTTACACAGAGGATAATGTCAGATGGTGCTACAGAAGATGATGTTAGAGTTGTTCACATTAGTGTGAAGTTAGCCAGGATAAGCCATTTGAAAAAAGATTATTCAACAGCTCAGTTAGGTTATGATTGGTGTATAGAAAAATTAGATAAAGCTTTAAGTATTAATCCTGATTCAGATATACTGAAATTACTGAGTATAGCTGAAGACTGGTATGGTAGATTGTTCATAGAATGCAATCAATATGAACAGGGTCTCAAGTTGATGACTAGTGCATTAGATCGAATGAAACAAGTACCCAATGTGGAACAAGAGCACATTGTAGTTCAATTAAATGATATAGGTACTGTGTGTGATTCATTGGGAAGAACTGATGAAAGCATCAACTACTTCAATGAAGCTATACAATTAGGAAAAAATAATGAGAATATAGAATTAGGAACTATGTATATTAATTTAGGACGAGCTTACATGAAGAAAAACTTACTCAATGAAGCAAGAAAAAGTTGTGGCTTTGGATGGAAACTAGGTGTAATGTCTAAAAATAATGAAGTAAAGAAAGAAGCAGAGTTGTGTATCAGTCAAATAAAAAAAATAACTTAATAGTTTAATGGTTGTTTTATTTTGTACAAACCAATTTTATTATTTGGAAATGAAGTTCTCAAATAAAACTATTGCTATTATAAAATCAGTATTATACATTATATCTCAAAAATAAAGTGACAGAAAAATAATATACTTAATGTAAATGCAATAGTAGAGAGATTTGCATACTAGGCATATAATATCTAAACTTATTTAATTATTGAGCACTTTCTTTTGTAACACTGAAAGGTTCTGGAACAATTTCTGCACGAGAATCTGTAATCGTCACATCCTTAACTGGACGGTCATTGGCTCCAGTTACAGTCTTTTCAATCTTGCGAACAACGTCCTGTAGGATAATATATACATTATACCATATTGCTACAATCAATTTTAACATAATATTATCCAAGAAATGAATATTGGAATGTGACAGTATTATTTATTTAATAAATTATAGTAATTTTCTATTTTTAAATTTATTATTTCAGAAATCTCTTTTAATACACTGGGATATAAAATAGGTGATGATTGGAAACAGACTATTATTAATCCACCATCACAAGGATATAAAATTATGTTATAAGTTTTATTTTGGAAAGAAAGTTTAAGTAAAATAAGTATTATTGAAATTCTTAATTACATGACTTCCTGGAAGAGAATCTTGTTTTAAAATAAACTATTATTTTCTCTATATCATATACAATATTGTTTTTGTCTCATACCACATAAAAAATAAAATGTAATTTACATACAAAAGGTTTTTAAAATCTACATAAACTGAAAAATAAGTATATAAGTGTTGGGTCACTATTGTCAGATATGATACTGAGCATGTAACTAATCCTATATTGTGATGTTTCTACATTACCAAATAAAAATATTACTAACCATGCCTTCTAAAATCTTTCCAAATACAACATGTCTGCCATCCAACCAGGGTGTTTTTGTGGTGGTAATAAAGAACTGGGAACCATTGGTGTCCTTTCCAGCATTGGCCATAGACAACCAGCCAGCTCCATAGTGACGAAGTTTAAAGTTCTCATCTTCAAAACGCTCACCATAAATGCTGCGACCTGTAAATATGATTCACATTAGATTCTTTACTGAAATTTGAATTTTCTAATTGTAATTACTACTTAGTACTAAATCATAAAGTTTCTGTTATTAAATATACTTATTTTCTCCCTTACAAGGGTATAATTTATTTCTTTAGTTGTGGTGCTCCAGATATCATAATTTTATTGTTTTCAGCATTACTTACAGTCATATAAACTGTCTTATTATTTTACTTTTGTATGAATGGCATCTATTACACAAACTATGTCCATAATTATAAATCCATTGTTTGATAGTGTTTAATAGTTGTAATATTTACCTCCTGTACCATCACCCTTTGTGAAATCACCACCTTGGATCATAAAGTTGTCAATGACTCTGTGGAACTTGCTTCCCTTGTATCCTTCACCTGCAGGTTTCTGTGCTAATTGGAAGAAGTTCTCTGCAGTTTTGGGGACTGTTTTTCCAAATAGACCAATCACAATGGTGCCAATTTGTTCATCTCCTAAAGACATATCAAAGCTTACCTGTTGGGAAAACATAAATGTTTGTTGTAAGAAAAGGTAGCATTTTTATCTATGTGGTATTTGAATTTCTAAGTAAATTAAATTCATTTCAGAATACACTTACATACCATACAGGTACCTACAGTGATACATTGCTTTAAGTTGAATAGTTGTTTTATAAATCTGTTAACACAATAATATAGTTCTTTAAACAATATATTAAGTAATACCGTAAGACAATATTACAATATGACTACTCTATATGTCAGTACTTAAACCTGTTATCTTAAATAGAATAAGAACTTGTAAAGTGAGCCTGAGGCCCATCCAAAGATGCTCAAATTAAAAACACACATTTTGTAGGTACACCTACATACAGATACATATAATATAGATAGATATACATATCATATCTCTCAAAACAAACTAATTGTGTCCAAAACAGTCAGAGAGACAGGAGTAAACTACATCATATAATATTATCTTATCTATGCTACAACTATATATCAACTGAAATTTTTTATCTCAAAAACTAAAAATCATATATACTACTATAAAAAAAACTGCTGTTTACTATAAAAACTATATTAATACATAATATTTATATCCTTTTACCAAACCTGTCTAACCCATTGGTATGTGTGAACAGTTTATTTCAATAATAAATAGGGCAATAGACTTGAATTACAATACAATGGGTATATTAACTTTGATTGATATGACCTAGCTTTGGTACTCAATTGTTAGTTCAGAAACAGATGTAGACCGGATTAAATTAATTTAAGTAAATATTTACACGAAAGTTTATACAAGGATATCTATAATATATTGTGGGTTGGTTAAGACAAAGGCCAAACTTTTGAAAGTTGAAACGTCATTTACAAAGGTCACCGACCACACCGCCGGTCATCAACTTATAACTAAACCATTTTATGGTTTTATTATTATTTTATCATGTTAGTAGTTTGTATGTATACTTCAGCTTGAACTTACCTTATGAGTAACTTTAGGTCCCTTGGGGGCTTCATCTGAACGGGCAGTCGTAAAAATTATAAAAAAGCATAACGCTGTTGCAATTGCGACCATGATTATAATAAGTTTTGTTTTCTTCCTGGCTATTTTTATTATTTAATAAAATTCTGTTTTGGCACAAAGGGTAATATAAATCTAAAAGTTATAAACAGGTCAGAAGTCGCTTGTGAAATGAGTCGCGACTTGAGAAGAAGAGTTGTAATGCGTTAAGGAAATAGGTATTTGTGTTTGAATTGAACGTGTATGCGAAGCGATGAGTGAGCGAGATGAAATAGTTGAAAAACCACGTCAGATATTCAAGCGGACACCTGACGTCAATCATCAATTGTAAAGGGGACGTTCCGAGATACATAAATATGAAGTTGTGTGCTTTTGAAATATAAATAATATATTTTCTACTAAACCAATACATAATTTCAATACCCGAGTTATAATGAATTTTTAATAAATATAAAGTATATAATATTTAATATTTTTGTGAATGAAGCATGAAATCTCCGCTAGGATATTGTTGTTCTGTGATGAAATTATCCCTGATGAAACACAACTAAATAGTATATAGTGATTAGTTCTTAGAGATTTTTCTAAAATTTCTTTTCGTAGGGATTTCGAGGAAACTTTGGGAGAAAATCAAGATCGTCACTATTTACAATGACACATACATACAGGGTTTCAAAAGACTTGCATCCAACTTCCAAAATTTCTATAAAAAAATACGCTATAAAACTGAACTGAAGGTTGTATACTTACTTCACTTTTTAGTTTGTTATTGTTATAAAATGGTGAAATCTTAAATAATTAGACATATCGTCTACTATACCATCTATCTTAAACCCTATTATTTTAGTTTCTAAAATCATAACAATGAGTTATGTTAGTGATTTGTCACAATCCAGTGAATATCTTAGTTTTCGTAGTAGTATACCATTGAGAAAAATAGTTGTTGATTCAGATGGTATCAAGGTAAGTAAATAAACGTGTTCTCTTTTTTTACCTACTGAAACTATTGGATATATGATGGCATCTTATAATTTCTATGGCGTAAAAGATTTGTGAGAACTTATATTTATTATGTCTATTATCATGAGTAACGTTAAAAGTAGGCCGATTGCAGAAACATATTAGGAATTTATATTTATGTTGTGGCTTGTATAATATAAACAGTGTACAATATTTAAATCCTATCACATTTTCATTATTGTTACAGGCTTGGAGAATTTTTGACTGTGGCCCTAAGTCTGTGAATTGTCCACTGATATGTTTGCCTCCTGTATCTGGGACAGCTGATATTTTCTATAAACAAGTCATGGGTTTGGCATCAAGAGGCATCAGAGTAATTGCAGCAGAACCTCCAGCTTATTGGAACATGAAAGAATGGTGTGATGGTTTTAAACGGCTCATAGATTATTTAGAATTAGATAAAGTACATGTTTTTGGAGCTTCATTAGGTGAATAACTTGTTTTACTCAAATGTATTTATATATATATTTATGGACATAAGTTAGGTGGTAGTCTGATATTTTTAAAGTTGCATACATACAAATGTGATTAAGTATATGTATTGTAGATTTTAAAATCTCCAATTCAAAGAGAAATGTAACTTTCATATGAAAGAGCTTCATCTGTATATATTTTTTATGGAGTATATATTTGAGTTATGTTGTAATTTTGAGAAACAAAATATAACTAATCCAACTCCTCATATTTAAGAGTTTGCCAGACAATATAGAAAAACTTAACTACGAAAGAAATTTTTCTATAATGATCATGCATTTATTTTTTAGGAGGATTCATGGCTCAGAAATTTGCAGAACTAACAAAGAATTGTCCCAGAGTGGCTTCACTTATACTTTGTAATACATTTACTGACACATCTGTTTTTGAATATAATGACTCTTCTGCTCTCTTTTGGCTCTTGCCCTCCCTGGTGTTGAAACGAATGTTGATGGGTAATTTTACCACTGACAAAGTTGATAGGCGAATGACTGAATCGATTGATTTTATGGTGGAAAGAGTAAGTAACATATACTCAAATACATAGATAACATATTTATTAAATGATAAGTAGATACCTACTAAATTCTTTCTTTCTGATATCAAAATGAGATTGACCATTTTTATTAATTTTATAAGTATTTGTAGATTTGTTTTTCTTGATTGATTTTAAAAAGGTTTCACTTTTAGGATCATGGAATAGAAGGGCTAGAATATAAGAAAAAAATATATTTAATCCATACAACAATTGGACCTAACTAATGCCAGTAATCATTAGTAATTATTAATTACTTGACAATATCTAAAATTGTCAGAATAAAAATATAGTAGCATAATGTGTAATATTGTGAGTAGTTTAATTTACAATTTTATTTCAGTTAGAATCTCTCACTCAGTCTGAGTTAGCATCAAGATTAACTCTGAACTGTAGTCCAAATAGTGTCCAGTCACAAGAATTGGCCAACATTCCAATAACCATAATGGATGTATGGGATGAGAGTGCTTTAAGCTCCCAAGTTCGTGAAGACCTATACAAAACATATCCTAATGCAAAACGAGCCCATCTTAAAAGTGGTGGAAATTTTCCATATTTGAGTAGAAGTGATGAAGTAAACTTACATTTACTAGTAAGTATACATTATTAAATTTTTTTATATGTAATTAGTTTCTCTTTGAGGTTTGTCCTATTATTTTCATATTGTATTTCCATAATGGCTTTTGTCATGTATGTAGGTATCTATACTAATATAATAAAGCTGAACAATATACTAATCATAAGAACTACTACATACAACATCATGCCCACCAATAGATAAAATTGACAGAAAATGTGATGTAAACAAAGATGCGCAGTTCAACTAGTTCAGCATTTCATATGTTTACTCTGTTTTTTATTATATAGTAGGTATAATATTGGATATTTTAATTTATTGATTATTGAATTTTAATTTCAGATTCATCTACGACAGTTTGATAACACGGAATTAACGGCGTCTTATTTAAACCTTCATAAGATGCCTACGTCTTCCAACGACAATGATGAAAGCTCCGTTAGTTATTTTAATAGGGATAAGTTCGTGAAAATATCATAAAAATTTGGTTAACATGGATTATTATGTTGTGGTGATTATTATATACTTACTTTTCATTTTGTGAACAGAAATACCTGTTGGCTTTATCAGGGTGAAAAAGTAGGTACATAAAGGTCATTTGATTAATATTAAAATATTTAAAATTATTTTTGTTAATTACTTAATTTGATGGAAGCATATCCTGAAGAATATTTCTTCATATAAATTATTCTCAGAATTATCTATCTAAAAATATTATTTTAATCTATAAATTTTGTTTGCCATTTAACTAAAATAAAGATTATACTGTCCCCTATATCTTTAAGCCATAGTCCATGTATAGCATGGCTTAGGTAAATGTAGAAGTATGCCGGGCTTGAGTTTACATTATAGAGGTTGGAATTTTATACTGTATTTTCAGAAAAGTTCAAATTGTATTGATTATTACTGTAGTGTGACTTATAGTACTTATTTTCATTGAACAGTTTTTAATTTCTTCTTATGTAAGAAATAGTTAAGATGGGCATGAATGTAATCCTTCATTCATGCAATTCATATATTATAAATCTTTAATTAAAGCTTTGGAATTTACTTCTATAAATATATATGGATTGTTCTATCCACCTACTTATATTTTAAGGTGGATATGATATCTTGTCTTATAAAGAATTTATAAATATGAATAATGTACTTATATTATAATTGTGTAAATATTAAAAATATAACATTGTTGATATTTATACTGATATTATTGATTGTATAGATTATATACTATTTAGTTGATTTGTTCATTTATGTTTTCTAGTAATCGAATACTTTTAAGTGGCTATACATAAGGGAGACAATTTTGTACACAATAAATAGAACAAATGACTAACAAAGAAAACAAGTAATAAGATATTTATACAATCTATACATATAAATAAAATTGGAGTGTCTGTTTGTAATATTTAAATAACCGTAGATGCATATGAATAGAAATATGGTACATACAAGAAAATAACATTTTTTACTATTTTTGTCTGTCTGTCTGTTTGTTCCGACTAATCTCTGAAATGGCTGGACCGATTTTCATCGACTTTTATTGGCAGGTAGCTGATGTAATAAGGAGTAACTTAGGCTACTTTTATTTTAGAAAAATAATGTTAAATTACTGTATGTTAAGTTAAAGTACAGTAAAGTACGTTAAGTTAAAGTACAGTTGTACTAAATAAATAATAAATATACACTTTTGAAAGAATCTAACTTAGAATAATTTTTTTTTTTTTTTTTTTTTTTTTTTTTTTTTTTTTTTTTTTTTTTTTTTTTTTGTGGGTAGCTGTGAAACACAACAGACGAATATTACACCTCTCTATTTAAAATTTATTTGTTAATTATTTAACACAAAGATTTTTAATTTTACTTATATGCATTTCTAAATTTAATCTATTATCTACCTGCTGTGATAATTTTCCTTTCGTTCTTTTCACTCCATATCATATAAAATGGACACACTGCACAATACAATGGCGGGTATGATGGAGCACTTTAATAAGACTATGGCTGAGTTCCAAAACCAGTTGCGGAAGGCGAACAACACACCAGCTACTGTGCCTTCACTTGAATCTGATTTTGTCACTTTCCGAAGCTTTATCACAACTGCACTCACTAGTCTTCAGAAGCAAGTGGAAATTATCGCCCGCCAACAAGAACAGATGGAGATGCGTAGTCGACGCAAAATGATGTTGCTGCATGGAGTGCCGGAGTCACAACAGGAATCTGTAGCCCAGGTGGTAGCAAAGATCATTATGGACAAACTGGACATAGAGGACTTCACTGCAGGTCAAATCTCTCGGTGTCATCGTCTTGGTCGATCATTAAAAGAGAAACCTCGTCCAATAGTTGTGAAGTTCCGCGACTTAGACGTAAGGAATGAGGTATGGTATGCTAAGACTAAACTTAAGGGCAGCGGGATCACCATGTCAGAATTTATGACTGCGGCCAGACACAGCGTATTCATGGCAGCTCGCCAACACTTTGGCATTAAAAAGTGTTGGTCGCATGATGGCTACATCGTTGTCGCTGATGGTGATGGTACAAGGCATCGCATAAGCTGTTGTAGTGAGCTAAACCAGCTGATTAGCTCTTTGCCAGCCACAACAGTACAGTCTGCATCGACCCCAGTTATTGCCAAAGACCCTTCTGTTGCTACGGCTCGATCTAAACGCCTTAGAAAGTAGTTATTGTACATTATTATTTTATGTTGAGTTTTCTTGTTACTGTATCACTGTAGTATACGCACTTTCTATTTTGTTTTACCCTAGCAATTCTTATTTTTTATCTTACCCACGAATTATGTTTTAAATATATTTTTCGTAAACAATTAGATCAAATGTCAATTAAGCTAAAGAAATCTTTGTGTATTTAAAACTGTCAAGTGAATGTCAAGTGTATCTGTATAATGTCAAATTTAAATGTCATTGTCTGTCTTGATTAGTGTTGTCAGCACTTAAAATAATTTTCTTAGTGACGTTCCGTTCACATACTTGAATTTTGTTTTTATTTATTATAATTATTATTATTATTTTTTTTTTTTTTCTTTGTTTCTGTATATTAAAACTTTAGTAATATTGTTATTTGTAAAAATATTTATATTTTACTGGAGATCTATATGTGCAGGTAGATGATAATTTTGAAATATTTGATAGATATAACTTTTGTAACAGTTATATTTATTTAGCTATTATTTGTTTATTATATTATTTATTTTTATTAATTAGTTTATAAATATATGTTGGAAGAGGATCATTATTCTTCATTTTCGAGTTCGTCTTCTAGTTATATATATAATGATTTTATTCCCCTTAATGAAACTTTAAATATTAACTTTGATAATACCGCGAAAAATTTTAATGTGGTGCATATTAATGCTCAAAGAATTCCGGCCCATTTTCCTGATTTTCTAACATCTTTTAACGTTGATAATTTGATGGCGTTTTGATTTCAGAATCATGGTTAAAACCTTGTCTTCCATCTGTCTCCTATTCTTTGCCCGGTTTTAACCTGATCCGTAATGATCGTGTTAAAGGGAGTGGTGGTGGAGTTGCCATTTACCTTCGTGATTATATTTCCTATAAAATTATCCTCTCCTATATACATCCAACCCTTCTCTAGAACCAGAATTTATTTTTATTAATGTTGATTTCTTGCACTCTAAAACTCTTCTAGGCGTTTTTTATATCCCTCGTCCTCCATTGATTATTTCTCTTTCCTTGAAAACACCCTAGAAAGTCTTATCCCCTCCTTTAATCATACCATTCTTATGGGCGATTTTAATACATGTTTACTGAAAAACGACCACCGGGCCAACCGCCTCATGTGTCTTGCTAATTCATGTAACCTAAGTATTCTTCCTTCACAGCCGACTCACTTCTTTCCAAACTGCAATCCTTCTTTTAGATCTTATGTTTGTCTCCTCCCTTAATCATGTAACTAGGCATGGTCAGTGTCCTGCAGATGCGTTCTCCTACCACAATCTCATTTATCTTTCCTACAAAATCCGACCTCCTAAACCTAAACACAAAGTTATAATGCGGCGTAGTTTTGGTAGTATTGATCAGACAAAATTGCGTAACGATGCATCTGTCGCGGACTGGGAATCTGTTCACAAAGCAACGTCTGTGGATGACCAAATTCATTTGTTTAACTCAGTTTTGCTGGAACTTTACGACCGACATGCACCCGTTCGACCAGTACGAGTTAAACATCTTCCTGCTCCCTGGTTGACTGATGAGATTAAAGCTTTCAGGTTAAAAAGAATAAGGCCAAGGCTAAATTTAGATCCAATCCTGATAAATATCGTGAATATTACATTGAAGCAAGGAATCTCTGCAATAGGGCTTGTAGGCATGCACAACGTCGCCACATTCACAAATCTGTAGAGAACGGTGATCCAGCTAAGGTCTGGAAATTTCTCAGAACATTGGGAGTTGGGAAAGCTCAAAATTCCGCTAAATGTGATATTGACTTCGAAAGCCTTAACAGGCATTTCTGCTCTTCCGTTGGTTTTGACAACAATGACAAATTAAGCACAATCAATATTCTTTCCAATTTATCAACTCCTGATATATCTTCCTTTTCTTTTACTCAATTTTCCGATTGTGATGTTAAGAGAAATATACTTGCTATATCGTCGAATGCCATGGGAAATGATAATGTCAGTCGTGCTATGATTGTTCCCATCCTTGATATTATCCTACCGACCATTACTTTTATCTTCAACTATTCCATATCATCAGCCTTCTTAACTTCCTGGAAAGATGCGCATATAATTCCTCTATCCAAAACCAAAAACCCTCTGAGTTTTTCAGATTATCGACCTATTTCCATTCTTCCATTCCTTTCTAAAGTCCTAGAAAGGCTTGTCCATAAACAAATTTACAATTTCCTTTACACAAATAATCTTCTAAATCCCCTCCAATCTGGTTTCCGCCCCGGTCATAGCACGACTACTGCTCTAATCAAGATCACCGATGACATTCGACTTGGTATGGATAAATCGCAGCTGACACTACTAACGCTATTGGATTTTAGTAATGCATTCAATACCGTAGATTTCGACATCTTACTCAGTTTGCTACGTTCTCTTAACATATCTCCAACGGTGATTGATTGGTTTCGAACTTACCTGTATGGGCGTCGGCAGCGTATTCGTATCGATGATATCAGTTCATCCTGGTGCACAACGACTGCGGGCGTACCTCAGGGTGGCGTATTATCTCCTCTTCTTTTCGCTTTATTTATAAATTCTATCACCCTTCATCTTCGTTCATCCTACCACCTATATGCAGATGACCTACAAATTTACTCACATGCTGCTCTGTGTAATATTACCGATGCTGTTCGCGATATAAATCTTGACCTCGCATATATCTCTGACTGGAGTAAAGCTTATGGCCTTTTACTGAATCCAAAAAAAACACAGTGCATGATTATCGGAAGTCCATATTATTTATCTAAATTAGACTTGAATAGTCTTCCACCAGTCTCCTTTAATGGTCACGACATAGAATACTGCGTTCAGATAAAAAATCTTGGGATTCATTTTGACGAAACCTTGTCCTGGTCGCATCAAATATCACAGCTGAGTCGGAAAATGTTTGGTGCTATCGGAAGCATTAACAGGTTACGGTACTTCCTGCCAGTTGACACCAAGACTGCGCTCGCACACACCCTATTACTTCCAATCCTAGATTATGCGGATTCCTGCTATGTAAATCTCACTGAAGAGCAATTAAATAAACTTGAGCGACTCCAAAATATGTGCATACGATTCATTTTTGGTCTCCGTAAGTATGACCACATTTCCAATTTTCGCAGTCAACTCAAGTGGCTTCCCATTCGTCTTCGCAGGAATTTTCATATTTTATCCCTCCTTTACTCTATTCTTTTCCACCCCTCCACCCCTGAATATCTAAAAACCAAGTTCCAATTTCATATTAAATCCCCCGGTTCTGCTTTGCGTAGTACCAGAAGCCTATGTTTGACGATCCCTGCTCACTCCTCCACATATTATTCCAACTCCTTCACTGTCCAAGCCATTCGCCTCTGGAACTCTCTACCACTCTCCATTCGATCAGCTCAAACACATGCATCATTTAAAAATAGACTAAGATCTCATTATCTCTCTTCATAGTACATTTTTTTATTTTATTTTATTTTTCTCATTTCTTCCAATATGTAGTATATATGTATTTATATATGTATGTTTATATATTTATCCCTAATGTAAGTATGTATATCTATATATATAAATAGTGTCTTATGTGTGCCACCTACCCTATTCTATGTTCATAAGTCCTCTCTTCTAGGTTGTCAGTAAGAGATTGCATTTAGCGATAAGACCGCCTTTTGTTATTTTTTACTATTTACTGTATTTTCTCATTATTTTATGTGTACACAATAAAGAGTTTTTATTATTATTATTATTATTAATAAGTTGATTTGTTATTTAAAATAGAACACCTCTAAAAATCGATTCTACTGATTGTGTACAAATTGTATTATTAGCAGTTTTTTTAAATAAATCGACGTTAAAAATGTCAATTTCATAAGACTGTTATAAATGTGAATATTATGTAAGTAAACAATATAGTTATATAGTAATGTTATTTAATAATTTATGGATTGCATCATGACTAAATGGATGCTATTAAATATGATATTATATTTTAATTTGTTTTTTTCTAATATCAACTATATATGAAGGCTATTTGACTCACGAGTTCATGACACATAAATGTTTTTATGTAATTTATTAATAAGCACTACTATACTTAACGATTCTATGTATCTTTTTCTAACTTATTTAAAGTCTGCTCTTTCTTCTCTTTCTGGGCTTGTAACGCTTTTTCCCTCTCTTCATCATCTGAGAAATATTCAGCCAAACTATCATCTTCATGTGGAATACTCTGGCCTGCTAGTGTCGTGCCTTTGTCTGTGAGTGCATTAATTTTTACGAAAGGATCTGCATAACTATCTGATATTGCAGATTGGTCTTGTGGTGATTGAGCATTGTGTGCTGTAACTGTTGAATATATTGACATAGCCTGAAATAAAAACACGACACATATTTAGTATAACATTTTTTCATGCTATATCTTATATAGAATAGTACCTATCTAAAAATATTGTAAATATCAATTAAATAGACCATCTTCAAATCTAAAAATATATTTAAAAATCTGAAAATGAATATTTTGATTATCACTGAATCAAAAAAGAAATTGATTTACACATATTATATTAGGATTGAATAGCGGGCTTTTTCATCTTAAAATTAAATTAATAAATATTTGTAATAAAAAAAATAAGTTATTTAAAAAATATACTCGTGCCTGTCATATTCTTTTATAATTATGCCTACCAGATCAGATAGCTACTTCAGAAGAATACTTACTTGAAAAGAACTGTCTAGAAATTCAACTGGTCAAGCGTTATGTATATATTAAATTTCATTATGACTGGGGCGAAAAAAGGGCAGCACACGAAAAAAAGTTTTTACTTTAACTAATTGATGAAATAAACTATTAGTATTGATACTTCTTCAACATCATCAGGTCTCTATAAAACCTGCACTCATTGGTTTATTGAAAACAAAGCAGTTGTTTAATTAAAGTATGGTTGTTATTAAATGCTAAAACAATTCATACCTGTGCTACTAAATTTGATACATCTCCTGCATTCGCTGGCAAAATGAGAGTATTGTTTGTCCTTGCTAGTTTATTGAATGCAGATACATATTGTTCAGCTAGTGTTAGAGATGCCGCATGCTTACTATCCTGTAAAAAATAAATGTTTTGTGTAATATAATTTTATGCTTTATCTACATTCTATGTATGCATATCAACGTAAGAATAAACATCTACTGACAAGAAATTATATCCCTTTATACATGATGGAAATAATCCCAAATTACAAAGAGAAATATTCTATTATGACAGTCAGACTCATGGCTATCAGCTTGTTTGCCAAACAAATTATACAAAAATTAAATTATTTGGCAACTTCATTATATAATTTAAAAAAATTACCGGTTCAGATAAAGCACTAGCTATAAGTTTGAGACCGCGAGCACGTGCATTAGCTACCGCTAGCATAGCTTGAGCTTCACCAGAGGCCTTGTTAATCTGTTCCTGCCTCTCAGCCTCTAAAAAAATATTGAATTATATTAATCAATGTATATTTTCTAGACACCTGCGAAATATAATACATATAATACATACATACATATAAATATAAAACAGCATCGGGAGTGGCATTTTTTAGTACAAGTCAAAAACATCATAAAATAATATAAAGAGTTTGTATGACCAAATTGATCTTTTCATAAAAAAGATTTGTTCCAAACTTGCCTTTTCCTAAATGATTAGGCTTGTGATAGGTATCAAAATTTTCTCGAAATATTGAACAACTTTGACTGATAATTGGAGAAATCCATGAACCAAGGCCCACTAAAGGTTTCATTTATTTGATACAAAAATAAACTTTAAAAATAGTGTATAATGTTTCATTACCTGAAGCTAAAATTCTTGCTTGGCGTTTACCCTCTGCGACATTAATGTCAGCAGCTCTCACACCTTCAGATTCCAGTATAGCAGCCCGTTTCCTTCGCTCTGCTTCTACTTGCATTTGCATGGCCTCATGAACTCGCGTCGGAAGCTTAATATCACCTACATTAGATTATTTGGATATTTAGTTTTAGTAATATAGAACTTGACTAAAATTTATTCAGTACAAGAATAGGGAAAATATATATAACCACTTGAAAGTCTATTTGCCTTCTTAGGTAAATTATTTTAAAAATCTATATATATAGGAGAGAGATAGTAATAATAATATAATACTTATTCTGAATAGCAAACTCGTACTCCGTAGTGGAAGTGCAAGTTCAAGTGAGGAATATTTTCAAATTTACTGAACTGTTTCCAAAAAATAGTTTACCAACTGTTTTGCCAGTGCTGGAAAGACTGTTAATAATAATAACCCTAATTTGCATCACACTCCCATGTCACAGATTTGATTCCTAACATGGTACAAACATTTAGCTGATTAAATGCCAAAGGACCACAACCCAAAAAAACAAGCTATTTCTTTTCCAAAAAATATAGTCAGAAAAAAAATTTTAGCATTTAATCAGTGATTTGTATTTATCCATGTGTCCGTGACCATCAGTGTGTTTCGGTCTGGGTGTTTTCTATGTATATGAAGTACATATATATGTATTTACAAAAGTAAATATATACATAGTAACTTAACAATGTCAAGTACCCATAACACAAATTCTGCTTGGAACTATATGGTGCTGTATGAGTTGCCCTGAGATACTTTTATTAAGTTCTATGCAATTTGGCTTAGTGTGTGATATGATCTAACTTGAAAGTAATTTTCTTCTTCTATGGTGTCAGTGGCAATCTAAATTTACTGATACCAGAACAGAGCAACTTTATGGCAGTATATTGCTGTGTTTAAGCCTTCTATCATGCAGGATGTTGGATACAAGCTTGAAAGTCAAGAAAGGTCCTATTGACTACAATATTAGAATTACTGACACACAGCAGCTCATGGCGTGAGCTTTTATTTATAAAAATGTTTAGTCATAATGAAAGTACAGGTAAAGATAGAAACTTACGAATTTCATATCGGAGGCAGGTAATACCCCAAGCTTCACTTGCTTTGTTGATTGCATGCACTATAGACACATTAAGTGACTCTCTCTCTCTAAACACTTTATCCAAAGATATTTGACCAAGCTCTGATCGCATGGTAGTTTGAGCAAGTTGCGTTATAGCAAATTCAGGGTCCTCAACACCATATGATGCTAAAACATAATTACAAAGATATATCATTAGTAAATTAAAAAAAAAGAAGTCTTGTGTTTTCAACTACAGCCTGGTCAATAATTCTAGCATTTTATGTTATAACATCATGAAATGTTATAAATTTTAAGTTACTATTGACATACATACATATATATATCAGAGACAGGAACAAAAAAGGTCATTAAACATCATATAATAAAGTATCAAAACTGTTTTATTTATGCATTGCAATAGACGCTGTCTTGTTTCCAAATAAAAGACCAATAATACCCTCATTTATTCTCAATTCTTTCTGGCCAAGATAAATATTCTTTGTTTTAATTATATAATATTACTAGGGATTAAAACATAATTATTACCTAAATATGGGTCTATAATGCGTAGGTACAACACTCCGTCAATGCTCAATGTAACATTATCAGAAGTGATGGCGCTTTGTTTCGGTACATCTATAGCTATTTCTTTTAAACTTTGTACATACTTTATTTTATCAACAATGGGCCATAGCAGGTTTAATCCAGGTTCAAGTATCCGATGGAATTTACCCATTCGCTCAACTATCCAGGCCTGAAATTATAATAATGATTTCATTTTCATTTCATTCCATCAAATCAAATTTGGTTTTCATTCAAAGATAAAGGTTTTCATAACTTTAATATTATATTGTATAGATAGATGTATAATGAGGACAGACACAGTGTACCTTTTATTTAAAAAAACATATAATAACAGTGAGTTACATTATAATAATACATATTATGCACATTTCATTTAACATTAATAATAATGTAGTCCATTACATATGTAGTAAGTACTAATAATGTTGTTTTAAATGTTACAATATAAAAATACTTTTTAACATTGAAAGGAGTTACTAGTAGCAATATAGACTACTTTATAGAAATATATTACTACACCTATAGAAATGGTTACGAAATATAGATCTACTTATTTATTGCTAATAAGTATTACCTCTTGTTGTGGAACAAACATTATAATTGTATTGAGCGGAGTAGTGGAACGACTTCTCACCGATGTGATGCTATAAAGAAAACGAGCCTCATTTTGGTAATCCGGCTTCAAAACATTCTGAAAACAACAATAAATCTAAAAGGTTATGATAACTATAATTCTTTAGCTATTTCGAATTATGGGTTAGTACGTACCCTTAGAGAAATAGCTCTTGAGAAAAGTAATCTAGATCTAGTAAACATGGTGATAAAATCAGTAAATTTACTTATAATTTCATAAAATAGTTAATACATTTTCCTCAAATTACATTCACCTGTATATGACATTCGGAATCTATGGGAATGACAGAACAGATAATGAATACCGATAGATCTAATAAGTTTTGCATTAACTTTACTACAATGCTAATGTCAGCAAACGAGTAATTGCTTGAGAAAGTAATTCGTTAGGACTTTGTATATTAGTAAAATGCATGAAGGGAATAAATTTAATAAAATTTAATTATATTCATTACTTTTTTTGATTTTGCGGTGGATATAGGTGGAGTAGATACTCGCCTAGTAGAGAAACGTAGTGATTATTTGCCCCCGTGCGAGTTGTTAACAGGAAGTGGAGCGTTGTCAAGGCGCGGGCAGTTTTGAAATTGTTTCGTCAATATAATATTTTTCTACGTCATTAGGAAAGTAGATAGGTGCGGTAGTCTATTCATTTATTTATTCAGCAACAAAATTATATTATATATTTGTAACAACAATTTTTATTACAATGACTAGTGACATTGTGTCTTACAGTTCATTCAGAAATGAAAACTATTTCGAATGTAATATAGCTGCAAAAATTAGAAGATTAAAAATACAAGAGGGACTCATTAATCAAAATATTGTAAAATTATTGGACAGAGAGAATAATATAGTCAATTTGAACAACAAAATAAACTGTGAATACAAAGCTTTTATAACAAAAATACAAAATACTTATATAGAAATCAAAAATTTATTTGAGTCTATAAAGGCTAATACTAATTCAAGGGAATCTTTACAATCCATCGGTAAGTAATTTTATATATTTCTGTAATTTGAAAATTTCTTCAATACTAAATAAAAAAGTATTGCCTGCGAGAACGAGCACTCTGAAATGTATTGATTAACTGTGTTCAATAAATGTATGTATATATATATATATATCCAGTCTGCCTGTGCTAACGGTATAAGATGACGAGTCATAGCGAGTTCATCCTCATTCTGTCAGTGAAAGATGATAAAATTAGGGTAAGTACTTACCTGAGTAGTACTGAAGTCGTCGAACTACATTTTCAGCATACATAGCGTAAAGAAAAAAAAAACCACAGGGAAGTTAACATGAGATTCTTCACTGCTGGTAATGAGATCTCATTGCTATTTGCTCTTCAGCCCTCCACAAAGTTACTGTGAAATTGCCTACTTTTTTTTATGTAACAACATTATTGACAAACTAGCGCTGACCCAAGCAACTTCATTTCCATCACATTGGCTTGACATTTATCTTTTTTACATAATATTTTTTTATATTACAGTCTATGCATTATTCTAATTATACATCAGCTATGTTATTGTAAAGTTTCATCGTTCAGTAGTCTTATCGGGATAGAGTACCTAACCACAATCCATCCATCCATCCGTACTCATAAACTTTCGCGTTTATAATATTAATAAGACGCAAGATAAGCTGAGGGATCATCCAGTGATGATAACTGGTAATCACCATGTCGCCTATATACCTACCTTACCTGAACTACTTTTTTTATGGATGATAATGGAATGGTACACCCGCCTGCGCTGACGGTTTACGCTGACGGGGTATCAGTGAAGGATGATAAGATGAACATAAGGTCAGGTCAGTTAGCCAATCGTGATAAATTTACCAGGAATTTATCGCGATTCTTTCCAGGAGGAACCGCGTCGATGTCAACCTGACATGGGACATTGCTAGTAATGGGATTATGAGTTCACATTACTAACAATCCCCTCCCCCCACTTGAACTACTGGCACACCGTTACCTTATGATACCTCCTGCGTTGTGTTTACAGAGAATTATGTAGGTATTATCTATCTTTCCTAAACAGAATATTTATTTTTTTATGCTTTTTTGCACGTGCGAACTTATGACAGACTAGCTAATTACTACTAATTAAGTAATAAGAACATATCTGTTTTTCTATTGAAATAATCATAAATATTTCTTTTAGATATTGATGTTGTAAAGAACGATGTTTTCGATATAGAATCCAAAATGAAAGAATTCAAAAAACATCTTCAATCTAAATTATCAATTTTGAAGTCACAAGAACAACATTTAACCAAAGATGTAAGTATACTCCTATAAGAAAGATTACCAACACAACACAAAATTCGAGATTTGGTTTCAATAATCAATAGGAACTCATTGTCAGTTTGATTATTTTAATAGAATAGTAGAATTATTTTAACTTTTGAGTTAAAAGGCTATTATCAGCTTATATGAAAAATAATATTTTGTATGTGGGAACAATATTACCAGATATTTAAAAAGTTTTCAAAATGTAGATTCGAAGCCTAGATATTTTTCATTGCAATTATATTATTTATTTTATTGTTATTATTTCCGTATGTATACAAGTCTGAGTCATATAAATAAGTATGCTCCATACCGATTAGGTACTACTTAGGTACTTGATTTTTATTTCAAGGCGTGGAGTTTGCGTATTTCGTCCTCGTTATTTGGTCCGAGTGACAAGATGCTAGATGTTTAGGTATACGCCTAATTATATATTTGTAGTCTACGTAAAAACTACTATTTAACTAAATTATATGTCTATATGTATTTTTAATGTAAAATTTGCTTTGTATAAATTAGGTATATATTTATATACTTCTAGCTAATTATAATTTAAATATTTCAGTTTAGGTACTATTACCTACTTACTTATTTTCAGATGTATTTAATGACACATCAATCAGCAAAATCGAAAATACAAACAAAATTTGACAGTAAATCATATAATGATATAATTCCAAGTCCTGTGAAAACAATAATATATTCGCCCTTTAAATATACCGTGAGTAAATAAGTAGATATTTATATAATATGGTTAATAGTGAATGATAATTATTTAAATATTTATTTTATCGTGGCTCTACCCCGGTTAAGTCCCCGAAGATTTTGATTTTGGAATTCCAATCGAGACCTCTCTTTTTAAATTTTAGAAGCTCCAGTAATGGAAACACCGCTCCAATAACAAACCAATTTATTTGAGAGGTGGTGATAGACTCTCCTGCTTCGTTAAATTCAAATATGAACATGTCAAGTGCTGCGTTTTACACAAACCTAACAATGACCTCTGGCTACACCATCTAGGATACCAGTCAAAGGCATATTATTATTTATTCATTTAAAATTGACGATGTATTTTAGGAAGTTGAAGAATACCAAAAGTTTATGTCTACTCATCGTCGTTATGGAGGATGGAATGAATACAATCACAATGTATTTGTGGTATCTTGGAAAAAATATTTCGATACAGAGAAAAGTGTAGATGCAGAATTTCAGTATTCAAATCACGAAAATTTTCCCAATTTTCTGATCGATATAGGCGAAAAAATTCCGGGTAGGATTTTTATAACTAACCTATTTATATAGTTCAACCGCTAATGGTATAGGCTGGTAGGGTAAGATGATGATTGAAATGAAATGAAGTTAAGGTAATTATGGACTTGATTTGTGTGTTCTAAGTACCCACTAAACTTGAAATGTGATGTCACAAAATTTAAGACACTTCCTAAGAGGATGCGAGTGGTCCTAGGTTTCATGTTTTTAACAGGAATTTTGTGACAGCTGCTTATATCCCCTATGTCCCCAATGTCACGCTTTCGTATACCACCACTCCACTGTAAGAGTGGGTGTGCGACGTATATTAAGGCATCCAACGTAATTTATACAGGGCCTGTATTCATTATGTTTGATTCTCCCTGTGAACTAAGATCCACCTTGGGCTGGGTAACTGTCGCGTTTTGCGCGCTCTATCACCCTATTCACTTATTACCTACCTACTTAATGACTAACGAAATAAAAGTATTTAGATTTATTTTTTCGACTTGTACAAACTTAATCATTGTTACGTATTCAATTTAACAGGCATAACAAAAGACGAGGTAATTTCGCATATACAATGGTATACAAAATATCTCTACTTTAAAAATCGTCAGCAAAAAGCTTTAGATAAATGGAGAGCTAGTAAACAGAACACAAACAAGTCTCATAATGTACAGGTAATGTTATGTTTTGACAATTACAATAAGAACTCAAGATAGCTGACAATTTGGTTTTAAATTCAATTTCAGAGTGTAATATATAAAATTGAAAGATTTAATCTGAATATACCTAAATTATATGTATCTGTACAGAATCCGAGGTCTATTATACAAATGAAATTTCCAAAAGTATCGCATCAAAGTGGGATTAGTCGGAAAAGTCTTAAAAAAGATGTCTCTGTCACATGTGATACAGGTAGGTAGGATGGCATATCCAAAAACTGCCTAATCTCGACACAGGCTAATTTATTACTCGACTAAATTAAAGGTATATGTTTTGCTATTTTTAGATGGTGTTAACGTCTTGGAGAAAACATCAGACATATTCGAGTGAGTATAAAATTAAATATCATTTGATTCAAATAATTGATACTAATACATATAAATTATTGATTGTTTTAATAAAAATAATGTTATCTTGCACTAAGTGTAAGATGACATTATGTGAATTGTTTAAGCAGAGCTTGTTATATGATTACGAAACAACTACAAGTAAATACATTAATAACTTTTTTTTTGTTAATACATACAAAATCGATACTTATAGAAAACATCTAGATATAATCATAACCGTGAGAACAAATTTTGCATACATTTTGAAAACAGAACCCACTATCACGGAAATAAAGCGGTGTGCTAAGATGCTAAACATACGAAACTGTTTAAGTACCATGAATAACTTGGAAATTACATTGTTTTAGGGATGATTGTGGAAATCTGTTGTTGAATTTATTTTATGAAAAGCATCCGTCTGATGATTTGATGATTGATAATAAAATATTATCTATAAAAGATTCATATACTAAAAACCGTTTTCTGAAACCTACGAAGCAATGGAAACATAGGTGTAATACAAAATTGGATGCGACACGCGATGCTATATACGATATTAATAATACAGGAAAACGGTAAGTGCTATGAATATCTACCTATACCAACAGATTAGAAAATCTACTTCATTCATATACTATTATATATGCGCCATATTATTACTTGACGTCAAAAGTAAACGTTTTGCTTAAATTGTCAATTTATTCATATTGACATTCTGGCTGGCTATAAGTTCAACCCTACAGACCCTAAGGTTCGTAAGTTTCAACCTGGCAGACAGAAAAGATTATTAGTCAATTTATATTCTTAACTTTTCTGAAAAAACCTATAACAAGCAAATTAATTTGAGAACTACACAATATAGTAGAATAGTCATTTTTGTGATTTTAATATTTTTGTATCACTGTTTTCGCTTAACCTTACGTATATGTATTTTGTGACATGTATACTCCTCCGAAACGGCTTGACCGATTTTGATGAAATTTTATATGTAGCTATATTCAGTAGGTCTGAGAACAGGTTTATAAGGTGGCCCATTCTAAAAATTTGCTTTTCATTTATTTGTCCATATTTTTTTTATTATTATGTGGTATAAAAATACATGCAACCCTAAATTTTGACTCTTCTATCACCAACCCCCATTTTTTAATAACGATTTTAATTTATATAGTAAAACGTTTGCTGGGACAGTTATAAACTTATAAGTTTATAGCTGTCCTGGCTGTGCTGGCAAACGCTTTGCTAAGTAATATTCTGTATTTACTAAGTAATAAGTAATAGTGACTTTTGAGTACATTAATTACCTGTCGCAGTAAGCCTACCTAATATTTGTATTAAATTTTTCAGGGGTATTCCTAAATGGAGACTAACGTTTCTACAACAATAAGTACGTATCTCTTTATCGTCTACCGGAAATACTTTAATTATTTGATTTTGTTTTCATTATTACCTTGCTTGCCAGTCATACCTACTATATATGTTTGATTACTAATATACAATGACAACTATTTCACGTAAATGTAATATTTTGTATAAATATAATAATGAATTACTTATTATTGAAAACTTATTTCTGTTACTCGTAAGGAACCTTTAGCGTGCAAGTCTAAAATTAAGTGTGTCAATTGAAAGGTATGGACATTCTGCTCAGATATGGTAGCGGAGGAACGGGAAATCGGAGTGACGCAGAAATCGTGGTCACATTAGTCTCCTTGTATCTTCGCAGGCTTTTTGGGTTAATTGCACCCATGTGTGTATGAGTGTAATCATAAGAAAATGAGAAGCATGTGTAAAGCAAAGTTGTTAAATGGAGTTATTTTTTTCTTTTCATTCTTATCTATCCTAGCTTTTCATCTGTATCATTCACTATACTGTCCAATGTTCACTACATTGGAATATTCATTTAATCAATTCAATCTTCATTGCTAATAAGAGCCGTTCATAGTACCAAAAATTAATAAAGTCCTTAATAATACTAATAATCCTAAAAGAAATAGAATTATATTTTTTTTTTCTATCGTTAACAATAACAATATTCGGTTATATTGTAATGATTTGATTGTTTAATACGAAGGGTGTCATCTCGTTCCCAATGAAATTTATTAACAATATTTAAAGGAAATGCTACTAAAATTTATTAGACACAGAAGCTTTACTTTATGAGGGTATACGGAACTTTTTTTATTAGTAAATGTGTTAGAAATAATACGTACTGACATCTACTTGGTTTTCGCGTTAAGATTTTTATAAGAGGTTTAGTATTTATTAAGATTAAATTAAAAGAATCACAACTTAACACATTTTGTTTATTATTATAATAATATAGTCCTTCAGAGTGAATTTTCTTATAATGATTTCCAAACCACTTACACATTAAAAGTGTATTAACTGAACAATTCCATGATATGGATAGGACTAAAAAACTCAATGAAAATTGTGATGTTCAAAGAAAGTACGCGGAATACTTTTAGTCTACTAAATTAAAATTTTCATATACAGCTTTAATATAGAATTTTGAAGCCAGAATTTATAGTCTAATCCTTACAGAACAATTATACAGTGTATTATTATCTATATTTATTTTAACTTAGTGCAAACTAAACTTTAACATTATTCTTTTACTTATTTAATGTACATTACAAATAATTTCGTTCACCAAAATCTACAATAAATTCTGTATGCTAAATATTTTAAAATAGCAATCATATTATTGTGATTTGAGCATACTCCCCAAACATTTAAAATCATTATAATATTTATACACATCAATTAACTTAATGAATTTATATACATTTATAATTTGTTGAGAACTTGTTTAAAGTTCATTATCTATTAAATTTAGAAATTATTACATTCTAGGTATTAGATTTCGCCAAGTTTGGTTTAATAGTCGCATTTTAATCTTCATCCATCAATAATACATGGCAACATATTGGAAAATGGATGGGTTATATAACTAAAATGACGACTCCAAGACATAAATTAAACATGTTATAAAATGAAAAAAAAATATATCCAGTTATTTTAATTTAAAACTAATGTGTATTAATAAAAAAACAATTCTCATACAGGATACTGTTTTACGATCACAGAAGTCTTGCACACACTTATTGAGATTATTATAATTAATAGTTACTGAGAATAATAACGCTTTGAAACTATATAGATAAGTTATCTAAACGAAATCCAAAACAATAAGCCGTGGTTGACAGAGGTTATGAAATGTAATCGCTTATGTATTAGTAACAAGTATACGTAATTGCACTAATAACCTTACCACCAGTTGTTACAAAATGTCGGACTAACATCCCTCTTGTATTAGATATGTATACAAATTTCAATGTTCATTACACCAATTACTAATATTTTGAGAAGAAACAATAGTAACTATTTATTTCGTTCTGAGTGAATTTAAGAAATCACATTCCATGCTAACTATTAATGAGACAAGATTTAATTTAATGAATTGAACAATGAGATTTTGTACCGATGTTATTGACAAAAAAAAAATACTATAGTACTAATTAGCAAGTCAAAGTATGGGTCACTTATTTCTTTTAGGCACAAACCACACATTCGTTTGATTCTGTATCTATGGCAGTTGTATTTAGGCTGTTTGCCCCCGACCCCTCTCCATAAAAAACATGCTACTATAAAAATTTCTACATAACTAATTTAACTCCATAAGTTTTTGCCCATAGAATAAGGCAGCTAACATCAAAGTTTCACACTAGTCAGATTTCTTTAAACAATTTGATCTTAGAATTACAAGGAACTACAAATCTAGATTTCACAAAAAAATAAATATATATTTAAGGTGAAGGGACACAAGACACAAGGTCTCTGAATACAGATAGAAATAGAATGGACACTGAAGAATATCTACATCGTAATTATCGTCGTAGACACACTCCTCTTAAACATTTCAAAGCGTTATTAACCTAACATGTGCAATAAAAGTAAAAGAAAGTATTTAAATATTACGTATCAAAAATAGAAACATAATGCACATTAAAATAATAAACTGACTGATTTAACTAGTTCAAGCAAAGTGTACGGACGAATAACTCAGATTAAGTAACATCATATGTTTCTTTGAATTGCATCGTCGTAAAGGAGATAGTTATGGGTTATGGTTGCAATAACTACTGTAAGTAAGCGTTAATTATTACGAAATATGTCATTATCGCTTATTAAATCTACAGAACTGACACATACAAATTTCAAGGAAATAAATTTGAACTTTATTTAAAATATTGCAATAAAATATTTAAATATAATGATTTCTTCATTTTCACAAATTAATGGCAAGTTTGTTCTTAACGGTAAATATTTAAAATTATATTTCGACTTCCATAACTTGAAAATAGGTTGTCAACAATGTAAATTAATATAATTAGAATTAACTAGAATTTCGGCATTCGGCATAGATCGAATAATCAAATGGGGAAATTGACAGTTAACTAAACAAATAAGTTTAGGATATCATCAAAACTGTGGTACATTTATTTTTTAATAGTCACGTAACATTTTCTTTAACACTTAAACGGTATAAAAATAATGTTATTGATATTATTTATCATAATATATTTACAAGAACCATTAAATGCTGATTACAGAAGTGTTAAAAGCCAGCAGAACAATCAACATTTTTTAAAATCAGTATGTTTAAAACATTTTTTGGCATTTTAAATAAAACTAATTTATTGGAGTGCAGTATTTGACTAACTAAAATTTTTTTACATCGTGATCATAAGTTTACGATTTTTTTTAAATTCCATTTCGATTATGGAATACCCAAAATGTTAGTCAATTGATATACATTATAATATCATAAATTTAATAAGTAGACCAGTGAAGAATTTCTATTTACCTGAAATGTTCACGTTGTCTGTAATAAAGATTGATAAACAGTTTCATTAAACAATACGGTAATATATAGCCTAGAATCAAGTTGATATAAAAGAGCGACACTCGCTGACCTATAACAGCTCTGCGTGACACATTTGTTAGTTCTAGTGGCACGATTTTGTGATTTTTTTCTTGACTTCACTCGAAGTTTAGTCCATTTATATAATACATAATACAATGGTTTTCGGAATATAGTCCCAATAAAAAGCAGCTGTAACGAGGCGATTTGCACATCATAGAGCCGAGAAAATACGTGATACATTTTACTAATTTTTATCAATGGTTGATCACTTCCTAGACTGTTGCAGTTAGACTTGACGATAGGAACGCTGCACATTATAAGTAATTCTAGTTGACCAATACGGAACACATTCTCTGGATCGCTTTTGTTCGATGATATTGCACATTGTCAAATTGAATTATCTAAATTACAGTTATTCCAACAATATGCCGTACGTTTCATGAGATGCGTTCCGGTCATCAGAATTTTCTGTCATTAGTTGAACATTTAGGCTCGAAAATGAGATGACCTATTAACAATTATCTTTGTTTGATTAGACTGTTCATATTTGTAGACCATAATCCCGCTGGGCTATGTTGTCACATATCAGGGTGATATATATATGTTTATATAATTATAGTTGTCTGGTGGTCCGTACACGGTTGCGTGAGATCGCATTAGCGCGCGGAGGGCGCGGCCTCACGACTCCCCATTCCCGCTGTCGTCGCCGTCCCCCTCACCACCCTCCAGCTCCTCGTCGGAGTCTGTGTCCAGGTCATCGTAGTCGTCGTCGTAGAAGTCTGTCATGTCCAACTGAAACAATTAATTACTAATTAGTTTAGAACTAATGACATTTATATTCCAAATAACATTTTTTAATTCAATTCTTTTTTTTGGTTCCTAAAACTTTTTGTTATTACAAATTATATCTTCACTATGTATAGTACTTCCATAATACTTTATAGTGTTCAAAAAAATTCTACGAATTACAAACAAAAGTATAAAAGTATTCGTTCTCATTAGGCTTCTAAAAATACTGTATCACAGAATACATTGTTTATACTAAGTCCGAAGCAGGGATGTCAAATGTAGAAGTTTATACGAGATTTTGATTAAAATAAATTGTCACAATATATTATAGTTATGTACGAGCGTGGTTACATAGCTAAATTAATTTAAAACTGTCAACAGGCAACCTTGGTCAGAAGCTATGCACAAGTAGTTGGGCAAATTACAACACTGATATGTAAATTAATCTACATATGATTAGATTATATATTAGAAAGAAGCGTTATACCAAAAAATTGGTTGAATATAATATAAGAAGGCATATGATTTGTTAATATTGCACATATCATCAGATATGGAAGACGGAACGGTCACGGGCTACAATCTTGTTGCAGATCCGATCAAATAATCTCTATTTAAAAAAAAATACTTAGTGAGAAAAGTTTTTCAAGTTTAATCTGTTTTATTTTTTTACTTTAGGGTCTAAGAACAAACGATTTTATGATCTATTTATTAGGACACTATTTCATTTAATAGTAAATAAAAGAATATTCCGAATTAAATCCTTTTCCCACAGACTCATCGTCTTATTAATTTATTTTCATTATTTGATTATATTAACCTTCTTATTTTTTATCCCCTTATAGTTCACAGTTCCAGATCTTAGTCTATGTAAAAACTAGGATCACAATAGAAATAACAATAACTAAATATTGTTTTTTAATTTGAGTAGATTTTTTTATACATGGTATTATTTGATGTGTATTCTATATTAAAGGTACACAGGAACATGAAGACTTTTCATAAAATTATTACTCTCAGTTCTTTATAATATACAAATTCCAAATATGTAATTGCCTAATATCATTGGCAACGCTTTAATGTAAATGTTACTTATATTTTTATACAGAAGTCACCTTCAGCGCCAATGAACCGTAATCAATGTTAAATAAACATTTTTAATTATTTCTTTGGAGTTAACCTTTTAGGTGAGAGGATAAAAAATACGAATATAAACAATATATTATTACTGTTGTACTTCAATATTCATTTAAAACATATTATCAGTAATATTATGAATAGATGAATTAAACTGTAAATATGATGAAAAGTGAAACAAATAAAGCCAACGTTAGAATTTGTTTTATAAGTGGTTCTTTATGTGTTTGTTTTTTTAGTGGTGGCATAAAATATTGTTCTAGCACTGCCAATATTACAACATGGGCTATAGAAACAAAACGGTCCCGTCCACTGATGGATGGAGTGAGGTTGGACTGAAGTAACAATAATGAATTAACCGGGTAATGTCCCCATGAGAGGGTGCAGGTCAGGGCCTCGGGGCGAGCCTCTTTGCCCCGGGATCAATTCCGGGGGCGATAACCTCTGGGGGTTGTATTTAAGCAACTTTGGACAGGAAATAATAGTTTAAAAGTGCATGCAATATGACTGAAGAGGCAAAAATTATTGGACATTTTGTAATATTAAGGCTTACGGTAAAGAATATAAATGCAATACTAATGTAACGTAATAATGTTATCTATTAACCTCTGATTTCTACAGCGATATACAAAGATACATAATCTATCTTAACATGATAGGTTAATCTAGATAACTTAAGGTACTTGAATTCTTCTCATCCTTCCTCAATTAGTTGTCGTATATTATCTACTTATATGCTCCGACGGATTATATAATTGAAAGAGGTACTCGAGTTCGACTTATTTTTTGCGATGTAGTCTTTCCTGTTTTGCCTTATAACTAGTGGCACTCCCCGGTTTTGCCCGAGAGCTCAAAACTTCGTGTTTTGTATATATTAACATAATATAGATATAAAGTATGTCTTACTTTGTATATGAATAAGGTACATTTCATGCAGTGAAAGGATTTCTCTATTGGTGGAGGAGTAGTCCAGTATATTTTTTTAATTATCTTTTTAATATTGGTATATATATATATAATACTGGATTTATTTATAAAGTGGCACATTTGACATAAATAAAAAGTGCCACTTATAAATAAATCCAGCCTGGATTACGTGGATTAATATTACAAACGGGAATGTTTCTGAGGATAATTATGTGTTTGGTACACCGTCAAATATACAATTGTTAATCTAGGATATGGTGATCGTATATCATCATATTCTAGATAACATAACATCATTTTTACACGAATTGGCGCTTTGAGACCGTATTGTTATAAACATTATTACTAGTTTTAATTCAATACCGACCTGAGGTTCTTGCGTCGTCGATTTAACTTGAGTTTTAATACAATAATCTTCTAATGTAAGAGGTACTACAATGCCTTCTTTCTCTGCTTCAATGCGAGCCACTTGTGCTTGTTTTCTGAAAATTAATATCATTACTGTTAATGCACCAATTTGTATGTTGAAAACAATGGTTATTATTATAGGTACTGAAGTTTTGATTTTTATTGATTCTCTCTCACATACATTGAGTAGAAAGGTAGGTTGAAATCTTTTATCTCAGAGGATATCGATGGAATCGAACAGTTATTCATCAAGTATTTTCACTATATAGCACTAATGCCTGAAATATTACGTTCAAACTGATAGCTAAGATCATGCAAATACAAAAAGGGTAACCATTTCAGAAAATTTGTTTGCAGTGTCTATTCAAGATACATATGTATATAGCTGAGCATCACGGAATATACAGTGTATATTATATAATGTTCAAATGTATTGTCTAAGTAGATAGAAAGATAATTTCTTTATTCATCAATTATAAACACATAGGTATGAGGTACAAAACAACTACATGTACAAAAGTGAATAGGCCACCAACTCAGCATAAAGCTAGATGAATCTGCAGCGTTGATATTCAGTTGGTTCCTTCAACTAATACATCAATTGCAAATGTCAACATCTGTGGGTTTGTGACTCAATAACACTTAAACAGCTGCCATAATTCAAATGAAATTTGGTACACTGATAAATAATATCGTAAACAAACATCTAGGATACTTTTCACCCGAACCCACAGATACAGCCAATATAAAATGAACGATTTAGAACTAATATCCTTACCTGATAATGTTTTCATACTCCTTATCCTTGCCCTTGGAGTCACGCCAGCGGCGATACATGACACTGGCGTCTACATTGGCTGGGCTGAAGGTGTTCGGTTCGTTGAGCAATGATATCACCGAAAGTAGCACGGTGCGGACCGACTGCGTGGGGTTCCAACGTTCACATGGCAGCTCTCCCGACTGTGGGTCGTCCACTGGCGGGTGAAGGATCGATATACAGAGGTCGCCGTTCTGAAATTAAGCCATATGTAAAATTAATCTTAGTAATATTATAAACGCGAAAGTTTGTGAGTATAGATGGATGGATCAGAATAACACATAGGCTATAAATGTCAAGCGGTGAAACCGCGGTCACAGCTATTCATATTTAATTACTTATCGTGCTGTTTTAAACAGCATCGCGGTGAAGCTAGTCACAATCTGGCAAGTATCGAAATTACGTTTTTAAATGCCATCTCTTCTAACGCGTTATTAAGTCGAAATATGACAACTGTACAGAGTTTAGTTCTTATTTTAACCAGAATTACAAGTTCCCCAAATTCATAAAAACAAGAATTTTGGGTGCTCACAATTCTGGTTAAAATTAAATGTGGTATAAATTTATAATGAATATTCATAATATATTATTATAATATATATCTAAGAACAAAATTAGAAACTACATTGTATCACGAGGATATATTTTATTCCAAAATAAAAAACAACGAAATCCTGGTGCAAACCATTAACGCAGGCGGGACCATCAATCCATTATCGTCAATTGATAAAAAATACACTAAAGCAACTTTTCTCCTAATTAGTTTAATCAATAAGTTATTTTGTCACAAAGTCAGTCAATAGCATAATTACGTAGCGTAAACACAAAGTTTGCGCAACGATCAACGGAGGAGTGTTATTAAATCTTGATACGATTTAATGCTTCACGCTTTGAGAGGCAGATTTCATTTCCATTGCGTTATAAAGTAGGTAATGTAGGTATGCGTAACTCGGGAGTGTTACATAAATCCATTGTTACTTTTTAGCCAAAGCAAAACTACATTATTGTCAGCAATCAAACCCTATTGTAGGCGCAAAAACAGTCAAACATTAAATATTGCGGAAAACACTGTTTATTAAATAATATTATTGAGTTTAAATTATTAAAACAATAAAAACAATTATTTTTAGCTGTATAATTCCAAATGTACATTAGTTATATCTTTTTAATACAATTTTCTTCAATTAAATTGTTTAAGTTATCTGTACTTTGTAACAAAGTAATGCAATAATTATTTTATTTCAATACATACTAATATTATAAATTTGACGACCATGGTGGTCTAACAGTTTAGCACACCGCATTACTTATGGTCGCGGGTTTGATGGGTTTTTCTATGTATATTATTATAGCATTTGGTGGTTTGATACATTTCGTATTTGGGTAATATAACCTACACTATTCATACAACCATATAGAAAAAATTAAGTTTATGTACTTTCATTAGATGTATTATACAGTATATTAGACCTATAGAAGAAGAAACATAGAGGTAGATAATATTTTTTTATTTTAGTTATTATTTTAAAAAAAGTAACAATCATGAGCGAATTTATTGCGAGGCTATACGTCATTTTGTCATAATTTTGGTAGGCAAAGGTTATCAATATAAAGTTTTTATCAATACTAGATAAACATAGAAACTCAAACTTTTATTCGTTAAAAAACTATAAAATATATTAAGTAAACGATCTATTGTGTGATTTCATCTCTTCTTTTATCTTTCTTTCTATTCAAAATATCAAAACGATTGCCAAAATCATTAAAAATATTACTGGAATATTCACATTACAGTAAGTTTAAAATGAGAATTACATTAGGAGTACATTGAAATAAGTGAATAAGTGCGTATTTTTTATGGTAGAGAATACAAAGACGAGACCGTTGCTGTTGTTTTTAATTTTGTGAGTTGCCGATATTTCTGCTGGGCTATAATTGCCATTATCATATCCCACAGGTAAACTGAGAAGCATAAGATTGATGCTAACTTTAAAGATAGTATTATATTTGTCTACTTTCACACGTTCTCGTTTCTTGTCAATTTGTCACTACAACACCAAGATCAAATATCTCTTAGACAGTGCACTCATTATGGGTAATATAAATACATGAATAGAAAACGTAAATAATAATCGGGTTCAATTAAAAAACAATTAAAGAATACCGTGTTTATTTTAAAAATATTTGGTTTCGGATATTTTTCTTTAACATACAAATTAATTTCTAATTTATTTGTTTTTATAATTTCTAATATACTAGGGTATTAGTATATTAGAAAAAATCATAATATTACAGAATCTGGAGGTAAGCAAAAGGTTATCAATGTTATCGAACCTGGAAATATTTATATTTGGGTATTCCCCGTTATTGTACAGTTCATTATAATAATAATATTGTATTTACGTAGAGTGGTATCTCGTCAAGCAAATTAAATATTTGCAAACACGAAAGTAGATTGGAGGTCTGAATCTCACGATGGCGATATATAAAAAACTTTTAAAAACTTATTTTTTATGTGAATTACAGCTCTATGGAACTCTCTTTTCTAATCATATATGAAAATAATATTCATCATATTATTTTTTCATGAAAGTAAATACTTCTGTGGGATAATTGGCATTTGTTCATCTTCCTTGTCTTAATGATCTTTTCTTCTTTCTTCTTGCAGCGAAACTGAGTTCAGCAGCTTTTGCCGTGCGTAAGGATAGACAGTACACTGATACTGATACTGCTAGATTGGTCTATTTCAATTATTTACATAGTTTACTCTTTTATGGAATATTATTATGGGGAAAAGCGGCAGATATTAAAAATATATTCATATTACAAAAACGTGCCATTTGAGCGATCTACTGTATGAAGAGTCGTGACTTATTAAGAGAGAAATTCAGAGGCAAATATTGCTTGCTCACCGTTGTTTCTCAATTTATATATTCAAATATCCTATATGTCCATAAAAATCTGGACTTATTTCCAAAAAACAGCAATATTCATAATATTAATACTAGATTTAAAGACAAACTTGCTGTCCCCAAGTATCGTTTAGAAAAAGTCAATAGGTCTTTTATGGGAATAGGTATAAAAATTTACAATAAGATATATTGGAATTACCCTTAAATAAATTCAAAACATCTGTTAAATCATATTTACTGAGCAAGGCCTATTACTCATTGAACGATTACTTGAATGACGAGCGTGCATGGCAATAGTTTTCATGTTCGGGATTTTAATTTAATGTTAGACATAGACACCTATATAAATACCTATGCATTGTAAATAAACTGGATTTAAAAAAAAAAGTAATTGAATTGAGTTTCTTGCCAGTTCTTCTCAATTAGATCTATATACCGAACTGGACGGTAGGAAAAAAAAATTATAATGTAAAAATTTGACGTTCATAAGCGGCTAAAATGCCCTACATGAATAAATAATTTTTGAATTTTGAATTTTTTGATCTGTAACATTATATGGACAGGATGTTTTATTATGACACTGAATCTAGAATAATATTATTAACTTCAGTGTAACAAAATTGTAAAATAACAATGAACACTATATAGTTGTTTGCCAAATCGGACTTATACCTCGTCTCACTAAGGAAATAACGGAAGCGTAATTGCGCGAGGCTAGAGACCTACCTCCGGGTGCCCTTGACGTCCTCGGCCAACACCAGCCCACCCCATTTACATCGTAACCTGCGCAACGACTCGTGAAGGTTACTTCATCTCACAATTTTATTCTTTTTCTCATCAAATAAAATGTATATACACGTCGAATGCGCATGTTAGCCAACTTTGTTGAATTTGACCTACATTTGGAATAACATCGCGATAACTTACTATATTATATATTTGATATTGGCGTTTGTATTTCCATCAAACGAGTTAAGATAAATCTGACATACTTAATATCTTACTCTTCAGTAATTGGAAGGGCATGAGGGGAGCTACGGTCGATATGACTCGAATCAGTATATTCAATGATCATGTTCCTGTTTATGTTATACTGATGTATAATTTGCATAAAAGAGTAACAAACATCCATCCATCCACACTCACAAACTTCTGCGTTTGTATTATTAATAAGATATATAGACGCTACCAATGTCCACAAGATTAGCCGGAAGTTTTCCAAAACTGTATTGGTAGGAATTATTATAATCATATAAACGTTAATTCTGTTACAGTCGTTTCTTTACTGTCTTTCTATAAAATGAATAATAGGCAAGTAAATCTGATAAGAAATGAAGATGATAAAACGACGGAAGCCAATTGCAGATGCCTATTTATAGACTAGAGTTCCACTGGACGTATACTATTTGAATCTGAGCCGAGAGAGAAGTAAACATTTCTTGAACCAACATACATGTATGAGTCGAGTTATGAATGTGGACGAATTTAGATAATAAGGTCTATTTTATAACTTATTTTATTGTTATTTATTATAACCTACCGTGAAGACAGAAATATTTTATTCAAATAATAAAACAAATATCTATTCTTTTATGAAATAGCCTACAGTATTTTATAAAAGAAGAGAAGCATTAGGTATAAGACTTATCTTTATATAGTTTTATTTTCTCTCTTTTATTTTTGTTAACGTCCTTTTAATGTTGTCCGTCCGTCTACAAATTATTAGAAGTAAATAAATAAATTCTAATCAATTTTAGAATAAATATTTATAGATGAGGACTTACGGTTTATTGCGAGCACTAACTCCTATCTACATGGTGAAAGTAACGCCGTAAAATAACAGATCAAGTAATTTTGGCTAATATTATTATTTGACTACTTATGTTTGCGCAGAAATATTTAGACTTGTGTGAAAATGGTATAAAGTCCTCAAAGTTTCGCATCCAGGTGAGCGGTATCTATTTATACTCTAAGCGTGGTAGCACGGTACGTGTAATAGCTGACATTTACAACTTTTTACAGTATGATTATAAAATTAAATTTTAAGTAACCCCCGAATAAGACAAATTAACTCTAATAAACAGTAGCTAAGAACAATCTCGATCACGTCAGCTTTCAAACAAAAAATGCATCATAAACGGTCCATTTCTATAGAAGCTATGATGCCACAGACAAGTCAAACTTATAATACACCTCTTCTTGCATCAGGATGTATTTAGTGAGATTGAAGGAGTAAAAAAAAAACATTATCGACATACTTTCGCAAACAACAAGCTTTGATG